GAAGCCCAAACTGAATGTTGATTCATCATACATTAAAATCTTTTAAGCATTCATAAGATTGCATATTATATAACAATTAATTATCTGATGATACTTACATTACCATTGTATTTAAAGTAATAATGTACACCCAATATTCCAAAAGCAATAATTCCAAGTTTCCCAGTGATATATCTATAATCTGCAGCCCGCTGGGCTCCCTGTAGAAATTCAAGTTTAAGGCTTATTGGTTACAATAAGATAACGAAAACTATCAGGTAACCTAAGTTTTATCCATATTGACATTGTTTAGGTTATTATGTAATCTTACCAGCACAGGTGTAAGAGCGTTGTATATAACATCCAAAGGCTTACGGTAAAAACGACGAATAGGGTTAATACGCTCTTTCCAATATTCTTCAACATAAACAGGCTCGTTAGGTGCTAAAACTTGGTCTTTTAACCATTGCTTACGCCAAGCCCTTTCAGCATCAGTCATACCTAGACATCTTTCTCTTTCAGATGCCACTCGACCAACAATGGTCATGGGCTTAACACCTGCCGTTTGCGACATTTTCCCGGTTTAGAAAAAAATCTTTTCTACTATATATTTTGCTGTTGACGGTTCACCGTAACATTTATTTTCTTTCTTTGACTTTGACAATAGAAAAAGATTGTCACATTGACAGCTGAAAATCATTTTTTTTTTATTTAACTGGCTTTACAACTCTGGGTTCTAGCCATTCTGAGCCTATCATTTCTTTAAGAATCTTCATTTTATATATTTTTTCTTCACAGTATGCTAATGCGTCACATTGCGAAGTTTTTGGGAGATTTTGATGACAGCTCAACCCAGCGGACTGTTGATGACAGCCATTCAAGTTCATAAGGCGCCCAAGCGATCAAATTAATTGAGGTTTATATCAACATCAAAGCACTTGTTTCGTCATTTTCTCTAATAGTTCACACGCGCTTAATTCACAAAATCATATCACTTTTACGAATTAAAATCCACTTCAAACCATTATTCAAGCGACAAAACAGGAGCGACAAGTCCGTCGTCGGCCAAGTTTACGATATATTACTTTCCTCTATGGCCAAGTTCCCGCCAAAACTCCCAGTTGAAAATCGTAGAGCGCGGACCATGGAGGTTAGAGAAAAGGAGAACGATCGCTGTAGAAAATAGTGTCACAGAAATATGGACAAAATAAGTGAAGCGCTGCGACCGATAAGTTATCCCAATAAAAGCGGGCTGTTGTGCGCTAGTTTGAAATTATCTGTCAACGTTTAATATACGTGTATATAATATCATTAAAAGAAAAAAATTATCATTATTATTATTTATAAATAAATAAATTATATTTTTTTATAATTATTACAAATATAAATTATTATTGATTTATTTTTATTTATTTTCTTGATAAAAAGTTATGGAGCATGATTTTTTTCAATTAAATTTTTACTATATTATTACATTATATTTTTTACGATTAAATTTGTACATTATTCAACTCACTTCATCTACTTGTACTCATAAACAGCTAACTTCGCAGGTACTACTTACCGACGGCAGCGTGGCTATAAATTTTCAGGACGATCGAGGACGATCCTTATGTTTGTTGAGGCGAACAGTTAAGCAGATGTCAGCCAGCAGAATTCGGTGCTGGGATACTAAGTCTTCACCTGGAAGCACTTTGCAGTTTTTTACACTCTTGATTTGGTTCCGTCTTATCAGAAAATAGTCGATCTGTGTCGCGTGGTGGCCACTTTTATAAGTAACAAGATGCTGATCTCGTTTTTGGAACCACGTGTTTACTACAGCATGGTCGAAAGCACATGCTGCTTGCAGAAGAACTTCCCCCTCACGGTTCCGCACTCCTTACCCCCCATCCACCATGTACTCTTTCATACCCGTCATTCACTCTCCCTACATGTCCATTAAAATCTCCTCCCATATAAACATCCTCACTCTCAGGTATTCCCATCATCATACAATCAAATTCCTCCCAAAACTTCTCTTTCACACTCTCTTCACAGCCTGTTTGCGGAGCATACACACTTACAACATTCACTACTTTGTTTTCAATCATTAATTTAACAACTATCTAACACAACTCCTACTCCATTTCGCTTCCCATCACTTCCACAATAATAAAACTTGTATCCTTCCCCAATCTCTCTTGCTTTATTGCCCTTCCATTTTGTTTCCTGCAAACAGGCAACATTCACTCTTCGTCGTTTCAAAACATCTGCTAACTCTCTTCCTCTTCCAGTCATCGTACCTACATTCCAGCTTGCAAACCTCACTCTGACATTCTTCTCTCTCCGGGCTCGCCTCTTACAACAATACTGTTTGAAAGACGTATTGATGAAATGAGTTCTGATATTGAAAGCTTCTTATGTAATTATTTGCAAACGACCCATTTCATTATACAACTGGACGAGTCAACTTTACCTGATAATACAGCATTATTATTGGCATATGTTGGTTTTATTATGAATCAAGAAATCTACGAAGAACTGCTCTTCGCAAGAACTTTGATAACCGACACTAAAGATGAATCAATATTTCATGTTTTGAAGGATTACTTCATTGAAAAAGCAATTCCTTTATCAAATATAATATCAGTAGCTACAGATGGAGCACTTGCCATGGTTGGACGTTATCGTAGATTTATAAGCTATTTAAAAAAATATGTGTCAGGGGTGTTAGCAATACATTGCGTCATCCATCGACAACATTTAGTTGCTAAAAATTTGAGTGTTAGATTGCATAAATCACTTCATTTAGTCATTGATGCATTAAACCGAATCCGAAGCAACGCGTTGAATACGCGGTTAATTGCGCAGTTGTGTGAAGAAAATGACGAACACTTTCATCAATTACTCCTTCACACTGAAGTACGCTGGCTGTCGAAAGGCTTATGTTTGACAAGATTTTTTGCACTTTTTGAGACTATTTTAGAATTTCTGGATACTAAAGATAAAATTTTAAAAGAAAATTTAATGAAGAGGAAAACAGACATCGCCTATTTAACAGATTTGTTTACAAAATTTAATATGGTTAATTTGCCGTTAATTTACAAGGTGACAGTTTAAATTTGATTAAAACAAAGTCCATCTTATCAGCGTTTCTTGCCAGAGTTAAACTAATGAAGCAAAATATTGGACGGGGCGAATTTTCTCAGTTTCCCAATTTGTCACAGACAAGCTGCCAGGAAGACGACGTTTCAACTTACTTTCAACATTTAAATGCCCTCTATTCAGATTTTGAATCTAGGTTTGAGGATATTTTGACTGTGGTAATACCACCGTGGATAATCCATATGGTGACATAGAAGAAACTAATGTCATAATACAAGAGGAACTGACTGAACTAAGTACAAACGAAGAACTTAAGGTTCAATTTAAAAACGGATATCAGCAATTCTGGCTGCAAAAGAACATACCCGTTACTTATCCCGTATTATGGAATATAGCGAGGAAATTTTTAATTTCCTTTCCATCGTCATACCTAGTGGAAAGGGGGTTCAGCGCTGTTACCAATCTCCTAACGAAAAAAAGAAACAGACTGGACATCATTAGCCGAGGAGATTTAAGATTAACCCTTACAAAATTGACGCCAAATGTTGATAATTTATTATTAAAGCATCAGGTTCATCCTTCTCACTAAAAATATTGACTTATTGCTTATGTTATTTTATTTATAGTTTATTTTATGTTTATTTAATGCTACGTATATTTTACATAACAGATACAAAATTTTATTTTGAGTAGTTTTAATTTAAATTTAATTAATAAATGTATAAATTAACATGTGTTTTTATTTTAAGTTTTTAACACCAAACTTCACTACAGTACAGAAATTTACAGGAAATCAATATCAGGTAAGTAGGGGGTCTACTCAACACGGAAAAACATGGTAAGGGGTCCACGACACAAAAAAGTTTGGGGAACTCTGCTTTAGCACGTAGCGATCATTCTCCTTTTTTTCTAACCACCATGTATGGAGTGTAGAGGTAAGGAGTACAGACTCTGTATAAAAAAGTGGTCGTAGGAAAGCGCTAAATAAGGGTGGCGCCACTGTAGCTACAGTCTAAATTTTAAAGAACTTTTTATAATTTTTTTATTGCACGAATTTTCACCATAATTCTTTTTACAATATTTATTTTATTGCTTTCAAAATTTTTATTTTTAATATCACTCAACGTATTTTACGGCAATTTATTATACCCCGTAGCTATTCGAGCGCTGTTGTGGAGAGTTTTTGAACTGTTATTTACTGCTTACGGATCGTAGACAGAGAAACCTATAGACTAATGATCGGCGTGGCCTCGAGTGAGAAAGGACGATAACGAATTTTTAGGTTATACAATAATCTTTATGTCTTTTAAACACACTTAAATAAAAATTTTAATTGTTCTAAGAACTAAACTGAACAAGATTTATCAATCTTAAGCTCACAAAACAATTTTTTCTCACTTAAACCAACTTGTAAACTCCTTAAATCGCTACGCTATCAAAGTTTAGACGCTACGCTATCAAAAAAACCGGCACGGAGAAAGGGACAAACAACCACACCGCTCTATTTCATTTCTATGCAAGCCGTATGCATAAATCTATCTTTTTCGTGTGCGAATGCGAAAGAAGGCGTCAATTTGTCTATAGGTTTCTCTGTCTACGGAAAATAAATATGTAATCTGTCACGTAACAAATCTATACATGCATAGACAGAGAATAGAGAACCGAAGTTTGTTAATTTTTTTGTTCTATAAAATGTACAGCCTTTAATGTATTCTTTTATTTCTTGCACAGAGTATTTTTTTATATAGGGAAATTTTTTGGCTGAAGGCCCTGTAGTCAATGGTGCTATAAATAAAAAAACATACTGTAATGTAATTTTTTTCTATGATTTTTATCCAATCCTGTGTTCATGAATAAATTATAAATTAAAGGGATTGTTTACGTATTCTTAGTACCGTGACCAAAAGTGAAACAGTATATACTAAACTGAAATCAGTATGCCTCGATACCATAAGGTAGAAATTAATAAGACAGAATGGATTGTACCAGAGCGGTATCAGATGCTTACACCTGTGGGTTCGGGCGCCTACGGTCAAGTGTGGTATGTATTTATTCAGATAAAATATGAAAAAACAACATTCTAGTTACTTCTTTATTGCTTTTTTGAGTATAGTTTAAATTATTTGGTATTCTCAAACTAAAGATTATTCTAACATTTTTGTGCTTTGCCCCTGTGTGGGTGGAACTGGTTTAGTAATATGTTTATCATTACTACGTTAAATATTTTACGTGACTTGAATAGAACAGCTTCTGTATTCAATCAATCCTCAATCATTTCAGCTTAATATCGAATGGTGACAGAATTTTTATATATTTGGATCGACTTAAGCCTTTATTGCTATTAGGTGTAAAGTGCACTATTACTTGTAGCTGAGTGAAATGTTAAAGTTCCTGTTGGCACCTAAATATCTTTCCCCGACTTTTTCCTTTGTTTACAGCTCTGCTATAGATACCCTTCATAATATGAAGGTGGCTATCAAGAAGTTGGCAAGGCCCTTTCAGTCTGCAGTTCATGCCAAGAGATCTTACCGTGAACTTCGTTTGTTGAAACACATGAATCATGAAAATGTCATAGGTTAGTGTTAAATATTTTTGCTGCTTTCATTATTGCTTGATTTTAAAAGGTATGAAATAGAAATTGAAAAGTAGGAAATTAAATACTGCACTTTAAATATTAATGGGCAATAAATTTTAATGAAGACATTCAGAATATTAAATAAAAGTATTTTGTTTTAAAAAACAATTAACTTTTCAGATATAAAAATAGCTAGTCAGAAAAATTAAAAATATATTTTGGGTTTAGGTTTACTGGACGTTTTCAGTCCTGAGAAGAATCTCGAAGAATTTCAACAAGTGTATCTGGTCACACATCTGATGGGTGCTGATTTGAATAACATAGTGCGTACACAAAAGCTCTCAGATGATCATGTTCAGTTCCTGGTGTATCAGATCTTACGTGGCTTAAAATATATTCACTCTGCAGGCATAATACATAGGGTATGTAATTATTATTCTAACTATTATTTTATTTACTGTTGTATATATGTAATCCAATATAAGAGTTGTTGATATGTTGTGTTAAACATTTATTGTCATAATACAAAGAACACATAAAATTGTGCTGTCCCTCTGACAATTTTATCAATTCATTTAAAATTTTAAAACATGAAGTTAGCTAAATAGTCCAGGAGGAATGCAATCTATGCGATTCTCTTAAAATTGTGCTACTGATGATATAAATACTTGATGCCATGGGGCAACTCGGTGCCATATTGTTTATATCGATTTTTTTTCCATTGCAAGAATTTGTTACTTTCAAACATTTTTTTCCATTGTCACAAATGTAAGTATTTTTGGGTGATCAAGTATTTCTGGGAGATGCTGTGGTGGGAGCGAAGCACAGAGCAGCTCCCACCACAGCTTTCTAACCTAACTCAACTTAAAGGATTTCTGGCAGTAAAGTATGTAATAATCATTTGCTTATTGATTATGAACATAATTTATTATGAGAGTATATACCACAGAAGAATAAAATTATAATAATGTGGCACTAGTCTTTCTTTCTTACGTCCATGTTGCACTTACACAAAATTATGTATGTATCCAGCTTTCACAGTAATATTGCATTTGTTTTGCCATAGTTGCCATCCATTTTTAGGTTATAATAGATTGTTTTCTTATTTTCTCAGAAACTGTGCGTTATCTTTTAACACTAGTGGTATTGTCATGATCAAGGTACCAAACCTCTACTAAATTCAACCCCTTGTTTCACCAAATTCCTGCCAAACAGTTCTTAATCCAACCCTCTTTCAATGTAATGTAATTCAACTCTTTTTAATTAAAAATGGGCTAGTTTAGTTTAGTTTAGTATATGACGGGCTGTTTTCCGCAACTCCACATCTAAGCATGTATTTTGCGTGGGTAGGAATAATGTGATTATTCAAGTGATGAAATCTCCCCGAAGAAGTTCAACCATCCTTTGATGTTGCAAGCAACTTCGAGGAGCGATCCTGTCATGCCAAGATATTTAGCCCTGTATAAAGTGACCTCCGGACATGTCAGAAACATGTGAGTCATCGTTTCTTTCTCCCACATTCACGCCCTGCACAGGGGGCTATTTGTAACACCTATGGTAAATAAATGTTTGGAGCCATGTTCTGTGATAGCGCTTGTTACTATCCTGATCTGTGGCTTGTTAAGTCTTATTAGAACCTTCGTTAGACAACTGTTTATTTCAGGCCTTTAGGGCGCTCCATAGCGTGTCTACAGTCTACTAGATTTTTCCAAAGCTGAGCATGTAAATTATTGAAGTTTATACGTACCAGTGAACGAATGTAGCCAAAGGGGATTGGTATTATTGGTTCCGGCCCTATAGTGGCCAGAGCCGATCCCCTTCTGGCCGGTTCAACTGCTGCATCGTTGCCTCTAGATCCACTGTGTCCCTTAATCCATTGCGGAGTCACATTCTTGTGCTGACATACCTCATTTAATTGTTGATGGCATTCATATATTAGTCCCGAGTTCACCACATTACAACTCAGAGCTTGTAGTACCGCCATACTGTCGGTCAGTATTCTAATGGAGAAGTCTTTTACCTTCCTAGCATCTATTGCTATGGCCGCTTCGATGATACCCATACATTCTGCCTGGAAGACTGTGTTATGGGTACCCAGCGGTGTATATATGTGGATATTAAGGTCTTCAGAGAAAGTTCCAGATCCTATACCTTCATTTGTTTTAGAACCATCCGTGAAAATTCTCAGCTGTTTTGGGTATAATCCCTCCGGCTGGTCAGTTTCATTTTCCCCGACCTATTATAATATACATTTGTATAATAATGTCATCGAAACAGAATTTCGGTCACGGCGGCCTACCTCAACGGAGACTAGCCATTGGCGCGGGACAGGATTATAGTGCCCAAGTGTAAGCACAAGCACAAGCGCACTATCCATTCCCTCACTCTCATAATCCGATGGAATGGTAAATCGACACGACTGGAGAGAGATCAGGCGCAGAACCAACAGCTTTACGTGCTTTCCGAGGTACGGGGGTGTGACACCGCCAAATTCCTGACTCCGAGCAGCTGCTAAGAATTTCTTGACGGAAAAACTCAATAATTGATTTTAAGGCCTGGACATGATTTCGAACCCAGAACCTCGTGATCAGCAGTCGCACTACTATAAGCACTAGACCAATGAGGCAGTCATTTGCATATAATAACTTTTATAAATAATATAGAAAAATATTAATGCTAGTGATGCAACAAATACTACCTTTATGAATATGATTATGAATATCAAATTTACTATTCGGTGAATACGAATATCTCGCCATGGTGAAGAAAAACTAATTTATTTCATGATTTTCTATTTAATAATTAAAATTTACAACAGGCAAATTTTTATTTAAAAACAAAATTTGTACATGGTTTCAGTGAAAAATATTTTAGGGACGATTTTTTTTTCAGCCCTGAAAAATGGAGAACTTCTCGCAAAATAAAAGGCTAATGGATCAGAGGCAAGATTTAAGCCTTCGTATTATTGGGATTGCTTAAGTTAATGTCGTTGATTCTTTGCTAAGCTCTTTAGTAGCTTCTTCAAAATTGGCCAGAATATCAATAATTTGGCTCATAATAGCCCATTCATTGCCTTGCTGTGATTTCATGCCCCATTCATATTTGTCTCTAATTAATGCACTTCTATTACATGTAAACAGTAGATAAATTTCTTTTTAATTTCCATATGGAGTAGGAGTGCATTTTCAAGTTTAGTTTAAGATGAGATTAGTGGTATCAAGGAAATATTTTTGTAGGATCTCAAGCCTTCAAATATAGCTGTTAATGAAGACTGTGAATTAAAAATCTTAGATTTCGGCTTAGCAAGACCTACGGAGACAGAAATGACTGGCTATGTAGCTACAAGGTAGGCCAATTTATTTTTAATTGAAAAGCTTTTATTTTAAAGTTCAAAATGAAAAAGAAATATTGTTCATATGTTAAGCGTGTCACACACTACGCAGATACGATAATATTTTATCTGCATATAAAAACTTACTTAAGCGAGGCACGGACTATGCAGATTAAATATATTTTATCTGCGCATAAAAACTATTATCTGAAAAAATCACACACTACGCAGATACGAAATGATATATTCTCTTGAAATTCTTTAAACTTACCAGATGAGTTGTTTGTCAGTGTGTACTATGAGTTGGTGCATATTGTTTCTAGATTTGATAGACAGCTCGTTAGAATAGAATTCATATTTTGATTTGATGCATGTGTTCCATTAGCATTTACTAAAAAGCGAAGAATTTGGATGGAATGTCATATAAATCTTAAAAAGGGCTGGAGTAGATAAAAGGATGCAGTAAATGCTAGGTCATATTTGTATCTACAGATGTTATCTACAGATATATTTGTATGAACAGATAATATTGAGCAATATGGAAAGATATGCGCTCAGATAAAGATATCTTATTGTATATGCATAGTGTGTGACACGCTTTAATCATATTTTTCAGCAACTATTTTGTATTTATCTGCAGGTAAAATGCTATGTTTTTTATAGAAGAGGGGGCAAACGAGCATGCGGCTCACCTGATTTTAAGTGACTACCGCCGCCCATGATCAACCGCAACACCAGGGGAATTGCAGGTGCATTGCCGGCCTCCTATGCCATATTTGTATCTGCAGATATCATCTGTCACTATCTTTTGATATATGTCGGTACTTACTGATACTCAACGATAAAATATAAATATCTGCGCTGTGTGCTAGTTCATTGAATTTCATAGCGAACAATATGGGAAGATATGTGTTCAGATACAGATATCTTATTGTATATGCATAGTGTGTGACAGACATTATACTTAAGTATATCTGATATCTTATATATTTATATTTAATTCATCTAACCATTACAGCCTATAAAAGCTTACTGCTGAATATTGGCCAGCCACATAGATTGCCCCACAGGGGGGATTTTGCAATAGTTTCCACACTTAGCAAGTGGGCTACCAACCACAATTTTTTTCATATTTTGAGTTGCTATCAGGATGATGCTGCTGTCAGTGGCGAAGCTAGGGCTCCAAACTAGGGCAAGCCCAAGATATAAATTGATAAAGATATAGATTGTTGTTTTTAGCAGTTTTACAAAAATACACTAATCTTGATCTGTCTCCACTCTTCAGTTTCATATTCAGTGCTGTCAAGGACGTGTTAAATAAACACACAGAAGGTATACTATTGCTAGATAGATTGTATGACATATCAGCAATTGCATACCTTCGGTGGCTTTTAAAAAAGCCGTTTAGGTTCGTTTGAGCGAAAGAAAAAGATATTTACATACAATACAATAAATGTACAAAAGTAAAGCATGAACAAAGTACAAACAATGTACAAAATTAAAAAAAAATTATTTATATTCTAAATCGAATCGTACCTCTTTCTTAAGGAAAGGTTTGATTTCGTCCGCGTAAAATGTTGGTGAACGTTTTAATTGTACCAATAAATGTTTTTAATTGCGATAATTGATAAGTCTGAAAGACGCTCTTGACTTTGTGTATAATCTCAATAAAGTTTAAAGATTTTACCTTTGCCTCTCCGATTAGCACTTTAACACACTTCAATTCATCATAAGGAACACTATTATCCTCCATTTTCACTAAAAATCTTTAAAAAGCATAAATTTTCAACTCACGTTATTAAATCGCTCAAACTAAACACACAGAGTACCTAAACAATAAACATTGAAATGGGAAGTGAACTTGCAAACGTATTGCCCACGCGCCCCCGCTCTCGACAACTTCATTCCTAAAGCCTGGCTTCTTCTTTCTATACTAATTGCTATACAATCGCAGTTATATTTCACTATAGAACATTTTGCCACAGGTTAGAAAAGGAGCGATCGTCTTCTCGAAAGCTACGTAAAAAGCCCACGCGTGCGAGAGAGACGAGTAATCGCTCAATTAAAAGTTATTTTTTATGAAAGCAGTATTGCTAAGGCCACAGACTAAGGAGCTAAGGCTGTACGAGGTCACGACCTGTGTCGAACAGAGGAGCGCGCGGGAAATTTGAAATAGTTTGAAACAGTTTACGAGTTATTTTATTAGTTGATATTATTGATTGATTCAGTTTGATAAGGCAAGCCTGGCTTCTCGGCTTCTATGGAGGCTTCGCCACTGGTTGCTGCCCATCTCGGGTTTCAGTTTTCCTCTATAGCCTTTTACGACACCCGACACAATTCTTACACTGCCACTACATGGTATATATAGATTTATATAATTTTTAAGTAAATGTAAAAAAACGAGATATTGGCTTATATATGTCTCTCTGCTGGTCGTAGACCTCTCTTCACTAAGAGGGTTAAATAGTTTCAGTATTTATATACTAAACAGATCCAAATAGTACAACCATACTGCTGTTTGATTGGTTGGTGGATGGTTGCAGCACAAATGGGTCGGCTTGAACGGTGAAAGCCCACTCTCTTACAGAATGCCAGCATAATATAATATTAATGTCCTCCAGACCGAATTTCGGTCACTGTGATCAGTCTCAACAGAGACTAGCCATCTGCATAGGACAGGATTGTATTGCCCAAGTGTATGCGCAAACACAGGTGCACTCTATTCCCTCACTCTCATAATCCGATGGCACGCTAATCCGAAACGACCGGAGAGAGATGCGTCGAGTCGCAGGACCAACTGCTTTATGTGCTTTCCGAAGCACGGGGATGAAACACCGACAACTTTCTGACTCCGGGCTGCTACTCAGAATTTCTTGACAGAGAAACCCAATAACTATAGTCAACTAAATCTAAGAAATATATTTTGACAGCTGTCAGACTTATTACACCAGGCATGCCAACCAAAAAATGGGAACGTACAATATTCGATTCTTAAAAAAAAAGCGATATCGATTATTTAGAGTTGGTAATCATTTATAGTTTGGTTTGAATAATACCAGAATAAATTTAAAACACAAGATTTATCAGTTTTTACGTATTTGTTGTTACTGCTTATTTAGTTTAAAATTTTAGATTAAAACTGGATTAGAAAAATTTATTCAATCACTTTCAGTACAACTAATTGAGCTGTCTTTGTTTAGATTAATTATTATTTGATTTTCAATAATGCAGTCAAAATTTACATCTCTTTAAAAGTCATCCATAATAAAAAAAATGTTTTTTCTACAACTTTTGCTAAATGATCCTTTGTGATATGGGCACATGCTTCAACGAATATATATAGAAGAAACAGTCAAAAAAGTTAAAGCCGAGTCACAAAATAAGAGACAAAATCACAAAATAACGCACAGTAAGCTTGCGTAATGGCGGGATATTGAAATTACGTAGTGGTTTTTTCAGCGCGGCCCTGTATATGAGTTTTTTTGCCTACACAAATTTACGTTGAGAAATTAAAAAAAAAACTTTTTTTATTCATGATTCGTGTAATTTAAGGAATTTTAAAGGAAAAAATTAAATTACACAAATAATACATTCAAAAATTTATGGTTCGATTATTTAAATATTTTTACCGATTATTTGAATATTTTTGCCGATTATTCGCATAACAATGAATTTAATCATCCAAACACTACGGTAATGTACATAGCGCCATATCATTGAAACGACGTCAAGTAACAAATTTGATACTGGTTAATTTTTAATATTTTGCTTTCTTTGAAAGATTCAAATTTAAATTAGTTATAAAAAACTATGCACGTTGTAATTAAATAAAGATAACTTCATAATTCTTCGGATTTACGTAAAAGGTTATTTTAAATAGTGTGAATACGCTTGTGCAAAGTTATTGCGGAATGATTAATGTGAAACGTCATTTCAACGTGAAACGGTATTTCTTAGATTTGGTTGAATATAATTTTGACCCGATACGGGATTTGTACCCAGGATCTCATGATGTTTATTATCACTAGACCAACGAGGCAATCTATTCGCGCAATATAGCAGCCCGAAGAGACTAACTGTTTTAACTGATAACAACTCTATCCTAGTCCTCAGTGGTGACAATGCATCTAAATTTTGATTGGTAACTGAGTGTTATGTATTCATATGTGACCCTTATTCTAAATATATAATTTTCACTTCAATCCTTTTTAATTTTTTTGTAATCCTTTGAAATTTTCATATGATGTTTTATTTGACACAATTATAATTTGTCATATGTTAGATGGTACAGAGCTCCTGAAATAATGCTCAATTGGATGCATTATAACCAGACAGTTGACATATGGTCTGTTGGTTGCATCATGGCCGAACTGCTTACTAGCAGAACTTTATTCCCAGGTTCAGATCGTATCCTTTTTATCTCAAAAATTAGAATAAAAATTGATTTAATTCAAGAATTATTTTGTTGTAATTTAACAGCCTTTGGTTAAAAATTAATTTGTAGAGCAACTATTAGAATGATATAATAATGATTACAACAATATTACTACATTGTGATGCTATGTTATATTTAATTTATTATAGTATTATTTGCCTTAATTTTACTTTCAATTTTAGTATCTTTTAATGTTTATAGCTCAGCTTATAGTTAAATGTGACCTCCTTTCTCTGTAAACCTTAATAAATGAGACAGATATTCATCAATTGAACTTAATCATGGAGATACTTGGAACACCGAGTCAGGAATTTATGCAGAAAATATCCTCTGAGTCAGTAAGTAAAGTGATGCTAATTAGGAATTAATAATTCTGTCCCTTTTCTTTATAGCGAGTTTTGCATTACTTTTTATGTATGTAAAAGTGTCTGCAACAGTTTATTTTGTAATATGTACATGCATTGTAATGTAAACATAACAGCTTTATATTAACATGTGGTGTGTCGCATCAATACTGGCTTATGTAAGTTTGGTGCTTGTGTAACCTTAACATTTGCGCATTCAGATATTGATCATCTCACAAGGATATTATTTTTATGCGGCAAACCTGATCAAGAAACTATTGACAAAATAACAAGCGAAGAGGTAAGGTTAACATTAATAGTCTATTAAGCTCTTCACAGAAGAATTTATAATTATTCCAAGGAATAGAAAATTTATAGGTAGTAAAGTGGCAACCTATACGAGGGCGGCACTGAAAATTTCGGGAATCAAGGAAGTGACACAACATTACTATTCAAAAATTATGTATTTATTGCTTTTCTAAGTATTCTTCGCGTAATTTTACACATTTTTCCATACGATGGAACCAATCATTGAAGCAACCATTCCATTCGGAAATTGGGGTCTCCAAAATGACCGTTTTGTAGGCGTCCACAGTTTCTTCAGGTGATAAATTCTCTGTCCATGCAATTTATTCTTTATTTTATGGAAAGTATAGAAATCAAAATTAGGGCTTAGGTCGGGGCTATACGGCGGATGGTCTAATAATTCTATGTTTTCTTGCCCTAAAAACTCTTCTTCTGTGTGCGGTGTGAGAACTCGCATTGTCGTGATGGAGGATGATGCGGCGGTTGCAGTTCTCTTTACGGAGTTCAGAAACAACCTGTGGCAAACAAATTGCTAGCATACCATTCTGTATTAACCGTTCTTTGTCCCTCGAGAGAAATAGTCGTAACATGGCCGGTTTTGGAGACAAACGTGGCCACCATTTTTTTGCAATACTCCGTGAACGAACAATTTTTGTTGGCTTTAACTCATTTTCGAACACCCAAACTCGTGACTGGTTTTTTGTTTCGGATTCGTACGCGTTTATCCAGGATTCGTCACCTGATACGATGTTGTATACAGCATTTGAGGATCCTGCGTGGAATCTTTCGAGAGTTCTGACGCACCAAGTAACGCGAGCCGCTTTTTGCTCTTCACAGTGCGAATGCAGTATCCATCGGGAAAACAACTTTTTTACACCTAATTGTTCATGCAAGTTATTTGTATTTGACTCATGCCAATGTCTAAAGTTGCCTGAATTTCGCGGTATGTCACATGTCGATCTTCCTCAATCAACTTACGCACAGCATCAACGTTTTCTTGGGTGACTGCAGTTTTTGGACGACCTTAACGGGGATCATCACTGAGCTTGACACGTCTACGTTGAAATTCAGCAAACCAGCGGTAAATTGTGGTTTTGGATGGGGCTTCATCACCAAATGCAGAAATCATCCGGTCAACACACTGTTTTTGTGTTAAACCACTTCGAAAGTCATAATAAATCATCGCTCTTGAATTTTGTCGAGTCAATTCCATTTTCTCAACGACAAAACAAGTTTGACAAAACCTTGTGACAAGACCGAGAATCTTTTTTTAATAAATAAATGGTATTCGATTTTTAAAACCAAGGAGTTTTCAATTAAAAAGATTTTAATATGAAAGGAACAGTGGAAATATTCCATTCCCGATACTTTTAGTGCAGCCCTCGTATACGTCCCATTGCACTGGGCACGGGCCTCGTCTCTTTTTTGAGAAAGTTTGAGGGCAAGGTAATGTCCGTCGCGTTCTCCCATTGCGTGTTGGAAGACTTCACGTCTTCGAAAATTTTTCAGCCATGCAGGTTTCCTTGCGATGTTTAATTTACTCACGATAATGTGGGAAAACTAGCAATAAATTGCAATTAACAATTTCATTGGTACTAGCGGAGATTAAGCCTAGGTTGCACGCATAAGTACTATGAAATTTACAGCAAGGGAGCCTTTAAACTACTCACGGTCTAAGGAATTCTCTATTCCAAAAGAAAGATGTAGTCATTATAGAATTAAGTTTAAATAATAAATGTGTTTTAGTGCAAAGTAGACAAAATTCCTACTAATAATATTAAAATCGCCTACTAACTGATTGAATCATTTCTGCTAACTGATAATTATTTAATCTCTTCCCCCACTCTTCGGTAAATCTATAACTTTTAAGTTATTATTTTTGAAAAATCGTAACCTCACTTGTGTGCCTAACACAAGGAAATTAAAAAATCGGTCAAATGCGAATCGGACTCGCGTATGAAGGGTTCCGTACCATCGTAAAAACATATTTCTAGTAGGGAAGCCCCTTTAATTTTTAATTTATTTTTATTACTTGTTGTTATAGCGGAAACAGAAATACAAATTCTGTGAAAATTTTAACTGTCTACCTATTAGGCATCATGAGATACAGCCCGCTTGACAGACAGACGGACGGACACCGGCGGCTTAGTAATAGGGTTACCCCTTTGGTTACCCTTCGGGTACGGAATTCTAAAAATATGTAAATTTAAAGAAACGTAATTGTAGTCGGAAAAACTTAAGTGTTACCGTACTTTCGTAACTTTTTCAACTTGTAAACCAGCTATGCTCACAAGGATTGACAGATAGAGCCCATTTTAGTTGGTAGAAATGAAAAACAGGGCGATGCCGATTTACGATTTTTTAAATCAAAACCGCGGACTTTAAAACGTGTAAACGGCCTAATAATGCACCATATTACTCGATAACACTAATTACTTTATATTTAAAGTAAATGGCAATTAGTGTAAAAAGAGCCGTGGTAGCTCAGATGGTTAACGCTCGCTGTAAATATAACAGAACGCGAGTAACCCGGGTTCTCCGGCGGCACCAATGAAATTGTTATTTGCAATTTTAAGTGCTGATTTACCACGTGCTCGGCGGTGAAGGAAAACATCGTGAGGTAACTTGCATGTATGAGGAATAAGAAAAAAAAATATTTCGAAGACATGTGAAGTTCGCCAACAGACTTGAGGGGAGGCCTGTGCCCAGCAGTGGGACGTATTTAGGCTGTAACTTTACTAACTTTACTTATATTTAAAAAAAACTAATGGGTTGTTCGGAAATTATTATTTATGGTGATAATGGACTACTTTCTTATACTTAGTGTATAAATATTTTATTGAATATATATTCTGCACTTTGTTCCAATGCCTTATGTCATCTTTCTGGCCTTAGTACGAGTCCACGATCCAACCCGTCCTGCGACAATAGATTGCCATATGTGAGGCAGAGTGCGAGTAATATTGCATATTCTTCAGGCATGTTATTTTCTTCTACCTTCCCGGTTACAATTGAGAAGCAGTCATCAATTGGTAGGCATGTAAATAGTGACTGAACATCAAAACTGCCATAGTTTCATTGTAAGCGAATGTAGGTCTTTAATCTCACTTACACAGGAATTAAAAATAAGTTTATTAAACGTTATATAATTCATTTATTCAATTAAATGTCGATTATTATAACATTTTTGTAAATATTTTTTGTTTACACATTTGAGTAGAATTATGATGAATGATTGAAATAAATATTATGCCAGGGAATGAAACGTAAAAAGTAAAGCTGACGCTGTTTTCTGACTGCGCTTCAGCTCTATACTGGTCTAGGCCAGTTAATTGTACGTGTTTTTTATTTTTCTTAATTTATTTTGGAAGAATTTAGTTAACAAGTGTTTTTATGGGATTAATAGTGACAAACGAGAAACCAGTCTACCTGATGGTATGTGCTTGCTTAGGCCCACAGACACACAGATCTATCTTTCGTTAAAGATCAAAACGCGGTAATTTTATACTATCGCGGTCCCCTCGTTTTTTGAATCTAGAAAATCGAAAAATCATCCGATTTCGATGTTTTTTTTTAAATCTTCGTTTTTACGGCGCATTTACGGAAAAATTACAAGAATAAAAAAAAATCAACTTATATAGGTTTCAGGGCTTTAAATGTTCATGAAAATGCACTCATTCACGTTTGTTTGTTGATAACTTTTTTACAAATAATCGAATAAAGTTGTTATATTTTTTCCATAATCTACATAAAAAACATTTAAAAAAACATTGAAAATGTTTGTGTACAAATTTTTTATTTTGGTGTTTTATTGAGTGTAAGATCGAGTGAAGCGAGCTCGGGATTTAGGGCATCCCGACTTGGACAGGTTAGATGAGAAGGAGATGGCGGGGTCGAGTGAGCCCGCCATCTCCTTCGTTGTTATTTCTTTATAAACTACTCAGAAGTAGGAGCCCCGCAAAGCGGGGCTACGTTGACCGGGCTTTCCTCGACCGCGCTACGATGAGTGGCGTGGTGCTTCCCTCCCCCAACTATCTCCCGTAGCGCAGGCGAGGGAAGCCCGGTCGACGGTTCCTACTTATGAGTGTTTTATAAAAAAATGACCACGAAGATGGCGGGGTTTATTCTCTCGTTTCGCTCGCTCACTCGACTCCGCCATTTCCTTCTAACCTAACCTGTCCGAGTCGGGATGCCCTAAGTCCCGAGCTCGCTTCGTTGGATCTTACACTCAATAAAACACAAAAATATTAACTTTTATAGTTATTTCGATTTTGTAGAGCGTTTTTGATAACATTTAAAGTCAGAAAACCATATAAAAACCTTAGGTGAGATAAAAAATTAATAATGAAATATTTTTTAATGTTTTTTATGTTCGTTTTTTTGTGTAGATTAACAAACAAAAAATATAAACTTCGTTTAATGCTTTGCAAAAAAGTTATAAACGATTATATTCGAAGAAGTGCGTTTATGATTTTAATTACATTTAAAGTCATAAAGCTATATGAAATCTTCAGGTGAGATATTTTTCATATTTTTTTTCATAAATCCGCCATAAAAACAAAGATTTAAAAAATCATTGAAATTGGTTGATTTTTCGATTTTCTAGAGCCAAAAAACGAGGTGACCGCGAAAGTATAAAATTACCCAAAACGCTAATAATCTGCAACCCTTGAGGATCAAAATGGAGTGCCTAGTTACCAGTAAAAAGGGCCTCTGTTTCACGTCATTCACCAAACAAAACAAGAATTATGTTTTGTCAAACTGGTATACTGTGCGAGCGTGGTCCATGCTCTCTAAGAGCTGCAGTACGCTGCATTGTGGTTCAACCACGTAAACATGTTGCGTTAATTTGTATATTTTTATATCATTCTAACGTTTCAATTTCAGGCACGCAACTATATTCAGTCCCTGCCTACCCTAAAGCGCCGTGACTTCCGCGAGGTGTTCCGTGGTGCTAACCCACTCGCTATCAACCTTCTCGAGCTCATGCTGGAACTCGACGCTGATAAGTTCGTATTACCACCTTTTTCACTAATTCCGACTCGCTTTTACGTCGTTCATGTTTGTTATAAAGAAAATCACCTTAATTTTTGTTGTTTACTATTCACATAATTATAAGACAAACAAATTCTGTGATAAGGAAAGAGTGACAAAGTAAAATAATGCTGCAGGAGTGGTGGAGTAGCAAATGCCCTAAACGGAATTTAATCAACGTTGATTTGACGATGACCTGGAAGGGAAGGGAAGATGGGCCAAATCAAAAGTACCCTCAAGCCCTCAACTGACTAGTTTGTATGCGTAGATATATGAATGTGAAGGAAGAGAGAGAGAGGTGTATCAGGATCCCGCCAATCGGAAGTCCGTCATATCTTAAAGTTTAGGTTTAGGGGGTAGTTAAATAGTGTTAGTGTTTAGATTTCACTTCACTATACTATACTATATATACATATATATATATATATATATAGATCTCTTTACGGTGAATGTTGATCAGACGTGACTTCACGCGAGCACTTTGTTGATCCGAAAACGCATGTTGATCCGGCGCCTTTTGTTGATCCAATATGCATCTCTGGTAACTAATGTGGCTCCAACCGGATCAACATCTTCACTCACGAGACTGTTTGCTAGCGTTGGCCGAAGTTGATCCGATATACAAATCCACCTTGCGATGGTTACGGAAAATGTTGATCCGATTTAAATGAGCCAATCAGAGCACAGCAAACAATAAGATAAACGATCGGATTGGCTGTATGCAGCCGCGACGTTGCCGTTTCGTATCTTTGACGGTACAAGCTACAGATTAAATGCGTGTTATGTAATGCATTCAGGGTGCTGTTTGGTCTACCTCGTTATTGTAATGCGCCGGGTATGTTCGCCATGTTTCTACACCACCATGCGTAAACGATGCACATCCCTGGTGCGCAGGGGTAATCGGGCCTGTCTTATATATAGGTTTAAAATTAGGTAAAAAGTTTTAAGTTTTAAGAAAATAAGTTTTAAGATTTGTATTATTACTAACCACTATGATCCTTGTGGTCGAAATAAACGACTTTTTTTAACGAATTACTCGACAACGCCCCTTCTTGTAGCGGAAGCGGTGGCAACGGCGACATAAGGTATTCGTCTGAGTACGTGTTTGCGTGCGTGCGTGCGTGTGTGTGTGTGTGTGTGTGTGTGTGTGTGTGTGTGTGTGTTAGTGAGAGAGAAGAGAGAGAGAGAGAGAGAGAGCGCGCGCGCGCGCGTGTGTATGTGTGTGTATTTGTGTGCATATGTGTGCGCGCGCGCGCGTGTGTGTCTGTGTGTGTGTGTGTTTGTGTGCATATGTGTGCGTGTGTGTATGTGTACGTGTGTGTGTGTGTGTGTGTGAATGGGTGTGCATGTGTGCACTGTTGTGTTTGTGTGTGTGCGTATGTGTGCGGCAGTGTACGTGTGTAAGTGTGTGTATGCGTTTGTGCGTGTGCGCATGTGTGCATGTTTGCACGCGCGCTTGCGTGTTTGTGTGTGTGTGTGTGTTTACCATAAACCAGTTAACATGTTTTCTACATCTTCATAATCAAGATTTTTAAGGATGCGTTTACAAAATTGATAGGTATAGAATCGAACTATTACATGAGATATTATCATGAGACCTTACCTCCGGTCTTGATATAGTGACCTCAAAATGTAATTCGGAATTACTAGTGGAACTCCTGGACTAGTAGAACTGGGTGTGCTGAGTTTGGGCTCGTTTTGTTAGTTATGATGAGTCCTTACCTCCGGACTTGCTGAAGTGACTGACTTCACCACAAATTCCTCTCCTCCGCCTTCACCACATACTACGCTGCATTCACCTCCGCCTCCACATCTCCATGCTCCGCCTCCGTTTTCTGGGCGCGCGCGCGCACACACACACACACACACACACACACACACACACACACACATACACATACACACTCAAACACGCACTCAGACGAACACACACGCACGCACACCCACCCGCACGCACGCACCCGCACGCGCATACACACACAAACACGCACTCAGACGAACACACACGAGCAGTGCGCTCTCGCGCACTCACATAAATACAGACACACACACGCACACCTAAGCACACACACACACACACACGCACGCACACACACAAGAAAAAAATTCACACACACATACATACACACGCGCGCGCGCACACATACATAAACGCACGCGCGCACACACACACACACACACACACACACACACACACACACACACACACACACACAACCACACATACACTCACACACACGCGCGCGCACGAACGAACACACATACACGCACAGCACACACAAACACAAAACAACAGTGGACACACGCACGCACACACGCACACACTCGTACCCACACACATAAAAGCAAACACACGCGCAACCGCACGCGCACACACACACACACACACACACACACACACACACACACACGAACCCGCAACAGTTACACACACGCACACGCACGCAGACAGTAAATACACCCACACGCACGCGCACACACAAATCGTATAAAAACACCCACACACACACACACACACACACACACACACACACACTCGAGTGAACGCTACAATTAATTTATTTGTACACATTTATTTTTTAAATTTGTAAAACACTAAAATTAATTTGTAATAAAGTACTATCCATCATCTTCTAATTGATCTATGACAAATGAATAAAATAACAGAAATTCACTCACACGATAACAAAAACTCACATCATAATCATTCGAATTTGTGTCTTTGTAAATTTTTTATTTATATATTATTTACTTTTATAATGTAGCGGCGGTGTAAGTATAACCACTACCCAATAACATCCCGTGGGAATCTTAAGAGGCGACAGAGGGAAACAAATTAGGAGATGATCAGCATCGTCTTCCTGATAATCACTAAAAATAAAAAACGGCGGCGCTTGCCAAACGTGGCAGCTATGGCAGACACCCGGATGAGGCAATGGGGGAGGCCTGTCTTCAGGCGGACTTTAATAGGTTGTAACGGTATAGGTATAGTATTTTATGAACGTATGGTTGTCTGCTAGGCGTATAACAGCCGAACAAGCCCTGGCGCACGAGTATCTGTCGCAGTACGCGGACCCCACGGACGAGCCGATCTCCGCACCCTACGACCAAAGCTTCGAAGATATGGACCTGCCCGTCGACAAGTGGAAAGGTACCATATACATACATGCTTCCTTTACAAATGAGACGGCCAAAATGTGCCCCAAGCTGTACAAAAATTAGACTATTGCTATTAATTTAAACAAAATAAAGAAAGAATTTTGAATAACTATTAACATTTCATAGCAGCTGTTGAAAAATAATCAGGTTTGAAAGTATTTAAAGTGATTTCTTCTCTTTGAAGTCACTCTATAGCACCTTTAATGTGGTCATATAATACTTAAAATGATCAGAGTAGGGAAAAAACAATAGCTAAACTCAAAAAAAATACTTAATGTATATGTTATGTATAAAAACTAGTATTAATGAATTAATACATCAAAATAATCAAAGTACACTAAAGAATAGGATTTTATTTATTTCCAACAGCTTAAACATGTAGCATTACATTATAAAAAGTAAAAGTAAAGTTACAGCCTATATACGTTCCACTGCTGGGCTCAGGCCTCCCCTCATTTCTGAGAGGGTTTTAGGGCAAGGAAGTGTCCGCCGCGCTGCCCAAATGCGTGTTGACGAACTTCACATGTCTTCGAAATATTTTTTTTTTATTCCTCAGACATGCAGGTTTCCTCACGATGTTTTCCTTCACCGCCGAGCACGTGGTAAATCAGCACTTAAAATTGCAATTAGCAATTTCATTGGTGCCGGCGGGAATCGAACCCGGGTTACTCGCGTTCTGTTATATTTACAGCGAGCGTTAACCACTGAGCTACCACGGCTCATTACATTATAGGATAGGGTTATCTTACTTTAGTACTTGCAACACTGAATCCGTCCGCCTAGCAACAAAACAGTCAGTGTCAATGTCAGACACTGTTGGGAAATGTACAATAATTATTGGATTCTTACAATGATTTGTTACACGAAACTGAATTGTACCATAAAACATAGCTTTCTCATTATTGAACACTTTTATACAATATTTTCCTATTTACACAATATGAGTTCAATACTAGACACACGCAACTCTAAAATGTATGAACGAACGCATCACGTACTTATACCAAATAATGTAGTTATCGCTTCTAAAAGCGCAAAACGTCCCGAAAACTGATGTATATAATTTGAACCCACGAAACAAATGGCAAATCGAATTGTCTCCAATGTCCTGTATGTGACAACTTCTCTGCACTCTGCAGTCAAATCCGTCTACATCTACACGTCGAGATTTCGAACTCGAAGAAGAAGACGACTTCGAATTTTCCGTTCCTGTTTAGTTCATATTGTTTAATTCCGTGCTGTAAGTTTTATTATTTCAATAAAAAAACAATAACATGTTTTTAAGTTATACAAATATAAAGAAATAGCAAAAACCTATTAAATTTGGATTTAGACAACTTAAATAAATAAAAAATCTGTAGCAAAAATTTTATTAAAACTCCTCAAGTTACAATATTTTCTAGCTTGGCCACGCCATAATTTCGCACCAACTTTTCCCAACACTGATGTCAGACTTGATTTGATTCACGTTTACCGACTTACGCGCCGTTTATCGGTACGCTTTTCCTTCGTATTTGTGTTTTATCGTATTTTACTTTTATTTAAGTGCTGTACACGAGTGCTCCACTAATTATAAACGGTGTAATACATAAGTTTTATTATTTTCTGTCTAATATACTTCGATCATTTATATTATTAATATTATATTAATACTATAATTATTATATGTGTATAATTAATAATTATATGTTACAAAAAATAGTTACAAATAATAATTTTAGTTTTCAAACTGCTGTCCTTGTTGTAACCAGTTAGCATACATCCTAATTATCATGCATATACATTAACCTACATAACGCTCATGAATTGAAACTTTATTAATATCTACATTGTGTAATTATAATAAAAACCGACTGCCAAAATCAACTTTTTTAAATCTTAATAACTTTTGGCCATTACTGCGTAGAGCTACATGCACTTTTCTAATTCTTTATATAGAAGATCTGTACTTTCAAATGACATAGATTTCATCTCTGTACAGTCTGGGGCACAGGTTCATACCATCTCCTTTATCTCGTGCTAAAGATGCGATGTAAAGAGTTTTTGTTTTATTAATTTTATTTGCAGACATTACACAGAAATTAAATATGTAATTATAAATACTTTCTCTTTTTTACAGAACTTGTTTGGAAAGAAGTAGTGGAGTTCAAGCCTCACCCACAACACATGAGTACAGTTGTCGAAGTCAACGCGTCGTAATTTAGTGTTTAATTTTGTATATTGTTGCTAACGAAGTTTTAGTTTATCACTGTAAAAGTTTTCACCAGGCAATTGTTATGCACAGGGTTATAAATTTTTCAGTAGTATCTGTTAATTCTGTAGCCAGTAAAAGGAAAAAGATAAGTAGATAAAATATGTAATGGTATATTTTTATGAGAATATATATAATAACACTAAGTATATAATTGAATCAACGAATTTTTGAAATGTAATGTTTTTCTTAAAAACCTCCATATATAGAGGTTTATTTATAAACGAAATCAATTTGTAGAAAATGTTACAAGTAGCAGTATTTTTTTTTTTAATTTTGTAATGTATACTTATTTATTATTATAATTGTTGTTTTACACCTGGTACGCGAACAGGTCAAACTGGAAAATCGGAGAATAATATCCATAATGTACTTAATAAATTTTCTTTTAATAAAGACGTAATAAATAATGGAATTGAAATCGACCGCAACGCACAGTGGTAATAATATTGTAATTTTTCGGATATATTGAAAGTTTGCCTTTCAATAGCATATGTATCGAGTATACTTAGTTATTACCATAATTATTTTGAAACTGTTCACAATACATATTGTGTAGTAAATTGAAATAAATCTATGAGTTAATGGATGGTTATTATATAAATAAAAGTATATACTAATATGTATATAGTATACAGTAACATACTGTAACTGTATTGCAATCCTGCATGCTATCGATTTTTTTTAACACGCAGGTCGTGTCGTTTTAAAAATCGTTATAACTCGCTCAAATTGCATTTTTGGAAGATTTATCCAGAAAAAAATATTCATTATTTTTGCAAGCAATTCATGTCTACACTTTTGTTTCTGGACAATTTGGGAATTTGATATTTTTAGTGGTTGACAACCTTTTTTACTTTTATTTGTACTCTTTTTACTGAGTGGGTTTTTAAATCATGTGGAAAAATACTCTAATAAGTAAAAAATAATAGCACTCATTGCGATCCCTCTAAACAAGTTTCTGGAAGACAAGTCTCTTGTTAATAAAAAAAATGCGTTTGTTTTATTGTTTAATTTTGCTTAAATACTATCATATGGCCTAATGGATCTACGAAGTTCCAAAAGTTTATAATCTCTGCATTAAAAAGTCACTTCATTTCAATGAAAACACGTAGAACAACACGTAGTTAGCTACTAAAAAAACAAGTATCCTTCCATTTGCAACTGATATTTGATGTCAACTAAACCTAATCAGAACTAAATAACTGAAAAAACATAGAGCAAGAACATTTTTCTATACATTGCTGATAGGTGTGTCAACAATTTCTATGGTGCTTATCACGACAGGCGTGTTGCGAAATATGTGTTCGCCGCCACAGCTAATATTTTATGAAAATTGGTGTTGCAACGAATCGGTTGAATAATGGCTTCTTTTAATAGAAATCTGCCAGTCAGTCATGGGAGTAAAAATTATTTTTGTGATACCTTTACTTAAGTATTAGGACAGTCGTCATTAATGACACTGGATATCTTTTTACGAGTTGTCAAAACGAAACATGTAGAAAATTAAGCTTATACGTGTAAATGACGTCATAGTTTTTAGTAGTTAAACATGATTATTTGTATATTTTTTTGATTGATATTTTTAAACAATGAAATAGTAAAAATGAAAAAAACAACCTCAGTTTTTGAAGTTTTTGTGCCTAAGAAAAGGGTGTGATTTTTGCAAATAAAATTTGACACTATATTATCGTATTAGAATCTGGTTCTCGTAGATTAATTATCTGATTATGGAATTAAAATAAATTCCATAATCATTTATATTTTTATTCAAAATATATTTTGAACTTTATAAACTTGTTTGCAAATTAGCATAGATTGCCTAAAATAATTCGGCAATGGCTTTTTTTTTTTTGTAATTTTATACATTTATTATTCACTACCCTAAATCGTCGCGTGAGTGTCATAAAAGAAACAAACCAAGAAATCGGCAGCTGCGTCTTCTTAATCACAACTAAAAAATTAAAAACTTTGCGAGGGGCCTGTGTTCAGCACTGGCCTTTGATAGGCTGGTATGTACTTTAAATTTTCAGCGTTGTTATGATTACTTTTCCTAAAGAATCTTTTACTATTCTCCATAGGGGCTTGATTCCTGGATGTGAGACTCGACCCGTCTTCAGCCACAAATTAGTTAGTAACTTGTTTGCGCACGTAGCCATGATTAATGTAACAGTCATAAGCGCGCCAGCAGATATGAATTTTGGTGCACACGTTGAAATAACCTGGATTGAGGCATTACCACTTCAGCCTACCTATTATTATCTGGGCACAGCGTTTGCCACAAATCCCTTGGCACGTCTTCGATAGGCCGAGTACCCAATAGCCTTGGAAGTGTTGTCCTGAAGCAATTTATATATTTTTTATTAATGTAAGTGATTTTGCAAGAACTTTTAAAAAGCAAATTATGTAGCGAAAAGGATATATCCAAATGAAAGCTCTTCACCTTACTTCACGTACATTTATTATACTTTCGCTTTCCAAATTCAGATTCATCAACCTGTACGATATTCCCCGACATCAACATGTTGTTTTTTGTAGGTAGTAAATAACTACCACTTTCGTGCAGCAACTGAACCAGTGCTCCTTGCAGGGTTCTTCAAGAATAGTGTATTCATGAGACCATCGTTGAGCATAAGCTTAAACCAAATAACAAACATGTATCAAGTCCATTATATTACTTTTGAAATGAAATCTCCGGGATAACTTGTCACACATGTCAGTTTCACGCCCCTTTAGAACACACTCATGTGCAGTAAGATTTGCATTGCGCATAACTTCACTGGAGTTCGATTTGTGCAACATCTTCTCTCAAAAAGCAAAAGCTCTTGCTCTTTACTTAAGGCAGCCATTTGTTTGTGTGTGCCAAGATCGCGAATGTGTCTAGCTGAATTCCACATTATATAAATACTTCACTAGCATAAAGCCGTCACAGTACAAACTTCGTCGTCATAAAAAGTCGTCAGGCGATATAGTGATTAAGCTGAAGTTCTTTCTAGATGGTAGAAGCCCGTCTGGTATTCCATCATTCTCTTACCTATGTCTTCAGTCAACAATTGCACTGCTATCTTACGGTGCGATCTGAAGGGTGTAGAGAGCAAGTATAACAGGCTGTGAGGTATCCTATCTTAGTCGTCAGAAGTGACGCATCCGTAGCTTTCTTTTCTTCTTCATATTTATGTGAATATAAAAATTGTCTCTTTACGTTGAGTTAGGAATACTTCTAATTATAAAATTTTAAAATGTAAATAATTACGTAAGAAAGATTTTTTAAGACATACTTAACCTATTTTCAAAAAAGTTGGCCACTTCATTAATGAGTATTAGTTATTGAACATTATATATACTACATATTTTGAGGTAATTCATAAATAGACTTTTAGTTATAAGTGATTTCTAAGTCTTCAATAAAGTAACAATATTGTTAAAAAGAAATCATAAGTAGGTAATACAAATGTAACTAATAGGTAATGTGCTCGCTTTTCAATTTGATTACACTTTTACAAGCTGTTGTTAAATAAAATATTTTGTGTGCTAACTAAAAATTTGATCTTGATGTCGATTTTATTATTTATAAAAAAGTCCTGTAGATAGTGACGCTATTAATTTAGAGGCCCATATCACAAAAATTATATACGCATTAGCATTGACGCAGTTTTAATATCATCTCTGGAAATAAATAACAACTCCCCAAAACCCATAAATTGTTCGCACATTTGTGTAATGAAATAAATTTCAAAAATATAAATAACCGTCCATTTTGATGTCATATTATTTATTTGCTTTGTAATTTGAGGTGAAACTTCAATATTTTTCTATTTTTACTTTGTGGACTTTGGTAATTTTTCTGCTTTATGTTACCGTAAAATTTTAAAGAATATTTTTAATAGGTTGATAACACTATATTATCTTGTTTACCTAAATGTATAGTTTAATAGAAATAAGTTTTTAAAATCAGAAAATAAAAGTCTTGCAACTATCCACATGTTTTATTAATTTCATAAGAATTCATAAGAAGAGCAATATTTATAATGGTCCAAGAGCCAGCGCCTAAAAAACTGTTTGAATTTACTAAAGTACGGCCAACGAGAAGCAATACCAAATGTAAACAAAACCAATCATCATCATCATCATTACAGCCCTTCACAAGTCCACTGCTGAACATAGGCCTCCCCCAAGGTTTGCCACAAAGCACGGTCCTGAGCCACCTGCATCCATCGACTTCCTGCATGTCTTACCAGGTCGTCACTCCATCTATTGGGGGATCGCCCTACACTACGCCTACCGGTACGAGGCTGCCACTCGAGAACCTTTCTTCCTCATCGGTTATCGGTTCTTCGAGCTATATGGCCGGCCCATTGCCACTTCAGCTTACTAATCCGTTGGGCTATGTCGGTCACTCTGGTTTTACTGCGGATATCCTCATTTCTGAGCCTATCACGCAGAGAAACTCCAAGCATAGCCCTCTCCATAGCTCGCTGAGCGACCTTGAGCGTCCTCATACGGCCAGCAGTGAAGGACCACGTCTCTGATCCGTAAGTCATCACTGGCAACACGCACTGGTTGTACACTTTAGTTTTCAGAGATTGAGGTATACCCGACGAGAAGATGTGTCGTAATTTCCTGATCGCTGCCCAGCCGAGTTGAATCCGTCGATTGACCTCTCGGTCGAAGTTGGACTTACCTAGTCGGACTATTTGTCCCAGGTAAACGTACTAGTCAACTTAGAGCATAGTGCTCCCAACAACTACCGGCATAGGTGTGACATGGACATTAAAGATGATCTGACTGCAATACGGCATTTTGTCGGAGCTCGCTTTACTGCCACGATTACTTGCGGTATGGCGCACAACACGGAACAACTAGTTTTATATATCGGGCATGAGTCGGACTCTCGTACCTCTTACAGATGCCGCCTCCTTTGGTTTAATGCTCAAAGGTTAACTTGGTAGGTTAAGCTAGTTGACTGTTACATAATATACACAGTATGAGTTAAATAAAACACTGGATGGAACGATGTATTCTTGTACATTTATTTTACTAAGCCCCGTACGGCGTAATGCATGCTAATGTATCATATGGGCTCAGCCAATCGGTCTTCTGTAGTCGCAGTTATCAAGTTACAATTAATAAATAATATACGGCAACTTTTTACAACCATTTTATACCACTAAATTTTCAAATGTATATATGAACACCCGTAATATTAGCGCAAATTGAATTACAAAAGGTTATTCCCTTTATCCACTCTACTCGGAAACGCGTGTCCGTTTATCGACCCCAGACGGGGTAAATAATCTGAATTCGTATATTATTTTTCTTCCGATTTTCTCCCTCGCCTGTGTACAGCCGTTAATAGAAACATCAAGGCTGTTTGTTAATTAATTTTTGAATAATGATGATAATATGATGGCGTTTGTGAAATACTGTAAGAAACATGGCCCAAGGACGAAAATTATGTGGTTGTTTGAAATTAATTCGTAGTTCTTCATAGAACTGCAAATTCGTTAGAATCTTGGTATAAAACTATTTCAAATAAAGTTCAAGGGAGTTTAATTTAGTTTAAATGCAATATGTAATACGATTTTTATCTAATTTTAGTGATTATTAAAAGCTAATCAATAATATATTAAAGTATGAATACATTTTTGTTGAACTGTACTTGGGGTAAAAAGTCGGAACAACAAACCATGCGCGCGTAAATGTTTCCGAGTTTCAAAACCCTAGGGCGTATTTCTTAGAGTGGATAAACGGATTAACCCATTACAAAACCTTGAAGTAAAATATTTTATTTTATATAATATTACTATTAGATGAGAGGGAATTGTAATATAACAAATCTACACCTTTTTAAATTAATTTTATAGCACTTGATGTAAAAGGCTTTCAAATAAAAACAGATCATATGACCTTGTATATTATTTTCATATAAAATTGCCCCTCTGTAAATTATTTACACATTAACTTGTTAAGACATTAATTTTAACTTTTTACACTATTGTTACATAAATAATTTCGACACTAGAATGAAAGCAAAAATTTAGTGTCCAACCGAGATCACTTTAGCTATTCTCAGTCTCGGTTATGTTTTCGGCTAAAAGCGTCAGAGATGTCGGTCATTAACAAGACTACGACGTTTATTAGTTCGTAAACTTTTGAATTTTTTGCCTACTCATTGCCGGTGCCCACACCAAGATTTTTGACAAGCTTTAATTACCTTGGCTTGAATGTATTACATTTGCAGACACATATTAAGAACCGACGAGCAAGAACAGAAATAATGGTGAAAACAACAATTTTAATGCTATTAATTGTGTTTCTGCCAAGACTAAAAAAGTAGCCTCAGTCGGACCTTACAAAAAATTAAAATCGTTGACAAATTATTCAACAAAAATACGAGTTGAATCTAAAGAACTGTAATGCTTTTATTAAACAATAACCAATATTAGACACAGTAATACAAATAAACTAATAATAAAAATAGTGTTAAGTAGTTGTAGTGTTAAAATTATGTACAATATGTATAAGAAATTCTTAAACGCAGATGGCAATCCAACCAGTGAACATACCGATGCACTAAATATTCACAGAAATTTAATACAAATAATAATAATCGTAAATAGTGTTAAAGCTAAAATTCTCGTTACATAAATTCGCCATTTGCTAAATTATCTACGTAATTTTTTAAATTATTATAAATAACCTAGCAGATTTCAGGTGATTTGAACCCGTAGCAATGTTTTCATATGTGTAACATGTATTATTTAAAAAGAACATGGACTCCGTTTTTGAACAGTAAGATTAAGAGGAAGGTCATCTTCTGAATCTGTTATTGTATCATCTAAATTTTTTTTAACTGTCAATATGACACCATTATTTGGTAGAACTTGATGAGTTTTTCTTGATACCTCAGGTGATGTGATCACTGTTCTCCTTTCTATTCCATCTTGAATAACAGAATCTAAAGTATTAGAATGAGACGCAACATTATTAATGACCGAAGTGTCTTCATTCACTAATGAATTACTACTTAAATCACTTGAATTTTTTTGGCTGTTTATAACATTCACCACACTTTTCAGTCTTCTGCTCTCTCGTCCTGATCGATAGTCAAGTTTTCGATCTCTTTCCAATTTAAGTTTCTTGCTAACAGTGCCACTTGTACTGGGTTGATCTACTGCTGGTGCAGTCTCTACTACTGCTGTCGTTACACTTTCTACATTAGAAACTTTTTTGGATGATTTTACGCCTTTACCCGAGTCGGACTTATGTTTTCTAGTTTTTTCATTCTCAGTGGTCACATTTGTAGCCTTTTTTTCCTTATGATGAGATCGAGATGACTTTTTCTTGGTCTTTTTTTTGCTATTTTCTATCGCCACTACTTCCTTATTCTTTCTTTTAGATTTATTTTTGGGAACTCTTTTTTTACTCATACTAGACGTGCTAGAGGAGTCACTGTAGACACTACTCCTTGATGAGATAGAGGAACTAGTAGGCGATGAGCTGACTGATTGTGATGAGGTACTAGAATTGGAATCCCAACTTCGCGCGGGAGATGGCGTAGTACGGCAGGTATCAGACGTAGTCGCGGTGTCATTGGAGCGGTGGCGTTTTTTACGCCGTGGGGGTGGGGGCCTATAGGAGCTATCTTCGCTCTCAGAATCACCTGCCCGGTTTCTATGCCTTTTTAAACTTAATTTTACAAGCGGTACAGAAGATCTATTCTCTTGATTATCTTGGCATGGAGGTGGCTCTGGAGCATTATCTTGAACAATTACATCACTGTCAGATCCTAGTAAATCAACTACTTCCGGAGTCCTGTCTTGAGGTGGCTTAATATATCCTACTACCATTACTTCAGATGAGTCATCATCTGTGTCTGATTGGGATAATGTTTCTATGGGAATAACATTATTTGTAGTTGGTTCTGGAATGTAATTTTGAGGATAAACTGGAGCAGGCACCCTAGATGGACCTGGAGGAGGTTCTGCCGGTTCCGAGCTGGAAACCATAACGATATCGGAATCCACGCTAGCTTCGGATTCTGAACTTGATATAACTTCATTGACCATAGTCGAAATTCTTGTATCGGTGGTATACTGAACGTTACGATCATAGCCTGTCATGTCGTAAGGCGTGGAAGCAAAACAGTATAATTCATGTAGAAAATGCTCAGTTCTATCCCCAAAGTAGCGTTGCATCGCTTCTCTAAACTCTGGGGAGTTTATGTGGTATTGCGGCAATAGTTCCAAAATCTTTGAAATGACGTAAGAAACGTGCCCAACATTTTCATTCAATAAATAGTGAAGTTCTCGGGTGAGCCATGGAGCTAATCGATGCATTTGTGACGTATTATACCTTAATTAAAATAGAAATTCATTAATTTATTTATCAAATATATATTATAAATTAAATTCTCCATAAAAGCAACTCTTTTTACAACAGGGTAGTTGACAAATTTTAAAAATACTTTGTGCTTCAGCATCTATTTTAACGCCAATACATAATTTAATATACTAATATAGTATTATTACATTTTTGTTACCCAAATTAATTTTCCACGGCCGATTTCTCTCTACTGATATTTAGAACTCTATAGTTCTATATAGCAATTTTAGTAATAGTGATATTAGTGCAGAAACAATGATATCAATAGATAAATGGAATTTGGAGAATATACGATTAACGAACGCACTGGGCGATTTTGGTTTAATCACTTTTGTAGTGGAAAATTTCGATTTAAAGAATGAACTACGAGAAAAACAAAATACTAGGGAAAATAATGATGAATTAAAGGCAATGGTGGAAGCTGATCCTATTTAAACAGCAAAGGAAATAGCGTCAAGTCTCATGTTAGTTTACCTTTTAAACTACCAAATCGGTAAAAAAATCGATAAATAGGTGACTCATGAATCACCACATGTGCTCAGAAGAGCAAACGTTGAAGCTTGCCTTGATTTGATTAGTAGGTACAAATTAAGGAATTTTTTTATTTCAATAAATAAAAAAATTAATTTTTGAACAGAATTGTGGCGTGTAATGAATATTGGATTCTTTACGATAACCGTAAACAAAAAACTCAATGGCTGAACCCAAATGAAATACTCTAAAGTGAAACTCACCCATAGAAAGTAATTGTAACCTTTTAGTGGTCACTTCATAGTGTATTTAACTATAGATTTTTGAAATTCAGTGTATACAGGTTGTTAGTGTAAACACCGTTATCCTTGAAACCAGTGGTATGATTTCACTTAAAGATCGTAAATTCAATGAATTAAAAAAAAACGCTATTTTCTTTCATAAAATTTAGAAAGTATCTGTCCGACACCGTCTGTAAATTCATGGATACCCTATGCGCCCTAATGACGTAATCACTGTAAAGATCACCGCCCGCGCTGACCTACACAACATTCCAATAAACATGCAATAGGTTCACATAACCTGTGATGTAACCTTTCCTTCATATTTTCATCCTGGCTTAGGACAGGCAAAAATTGAGGAATTAAGGAAAAATTGAGATTTTACTAATCAAAAATGTTGTTTTTCATTGAATTTACGTTCTATAAGTAAAACCAAACCACTGGTTTCAAGGATAACGGTGTTTACACTAACACCCATGTCAACTTAAAACAATGATAACAAATCTTGTCTATCGATCTTTTTCATTGTTCCATGATAACGCAAGAAACCACAATGCTTGACAAACCGTTTTAGCATTACAAGACCTGTAGTTAGAAATGATATGTAATTCTCTGTACTTGGCAGATTTAGCACTGGCAAGGATAAAAACCTATTAAGAAAAAATTAGGAATAGTTGTCGTAAATGATCTTCCATCGAGATGGCAGAAATATAACGAAAATGTGAATAAGTACTTCAATTGGGTAAATTTACATTTTTATATATATTTTTAGTACAACAAGTGTTTGATTGTTTTTAATAGAAAACGGCAATGTCATACTTTCTAATAAATTATTATTATGATTCTAGTCTTATACTACTGTAATGCGAAAAAATTACCAACTATTAAACACAAATAATGTATCTTTGGCAACTACCCCATTCCTAAAATATTAAAATAAGAAAGCATTTATTAACTTTTTATTATTGGCTATACCTATAGAAAACTGGTGAGCAATCTCTGAAGCGTCCTGTGAAGTCAGGTAATGGGCGGGCCCAGAGATTGTGTCTGTACACGGTGCGACGAAAGGAGGTAGGCGAACGACGGCGCGGCTGCACTCGGGCCTCTGGGAAAACATCCGCCATGATTGGGTAGTGCAGCAACAGCTGTTGGATCGCGAACGTATCGCGACGTGGCAATGTTAAAGTTGTCCTGAAAATTATGCAAAATAATATTGTTTTAAGAATCGCACAAAAGCGCATGATAGGAGAAGAGCATGTGGTAAATCAGCACTTAAAATTCAATTAACAATTTTAGTGGTGCCGACAGGGATCTAACCCGGATTACTCGCGACTCGCGTACTGTGAGCTTTTAGCTTCTGAGCTACCACGACTCTACCATGGATCTGTTTTATAGTAACAAAACTTTTTTAACAAAATTTCTTACAAAAGTTTTTTTAAATTTTGTACTGATTGTTGCATTATATTTTTGGTTAGTGTTCAGTCGTGAGTTGAGTCAGCTAGTTTCTAAGAAGTGATTTGATCGCCGCTACTGGAGTTTGCATGTGTGCTGATTAGAGTTCGGACGTGACATTGAGCTTCCAAAAAGCAACTAGATCGCAGATTGTCGATTCTAAAAGTATCATGTGTGCTTTGGCCATAACTGCTTACTGTGTTCTATGAATGTTTTTTTTTTATTTCTAAAAGTTGTTTGAAAAAATTATTCATTTATTTAAATGTTTTTGAGAGTAATGTTAGATGGAATGACATCCTCGTGAGAAATACAGGAAGTCAATGGACAGGTGGTTAATGACCGTGCTTTATGGCATTTCTCGGGAAGGCCTATTCAGCAATGGACTTGTGATGGGCTGTAATTATGATAATGGTAAGATTAATTTCTAACAATATAATTATTAAGAGATATTATAAGTTATAATAATACTTGTTTTAAATAAAATAAAATAAAACAATTAAATCCTACATAAATCTTAATAAATTAATAATTTCAAATAAAATCTACCAAGGGGTAGATTTTGTTTCATAGAGGACACCAGTGCCCACATTGTTGGCGGTACTTTTAAAAATATTTTATAATTCAATATTAGTGTTACAATTCATAAACATTTTATTTTTAACAGAGAATGGTTCAAGCCCAATGAATGCGATAAATATATAATGAATTCTACAAAACGTGTAATTTATAATTAATTAATGAATGCGTGTCCTGATTCCACTAATTCCTGATATAACTTCCAGTTATGTTATATTTTTATTCTCTTTATGGGAGTTATCAAAATTATTTTACTGGCAGCACTGGGTAATAAAAATACATTATAATCATACCACCCATATAACCCATTTCTTTCTTATTTTTATATCGATAATTTAGTAAAGGTAGTTTTCACGAAACGATAATATGGATAGATTCGATCGAAATCTATCTCAAGACAACATAAAACGTGAAAAATGCATTTCATTGATGTGCAATCAATGATTTTTCGCTGGCATCATGAGTATAATGTTATTTATGGTACACACACACCCACGTGTGTCAGCTGTACCTTTACCATGCCTATACCCTATTCACACTAGGTTAAGGCGAAATCTAAACAAACCGAAGACTTATCCAATTTTTTATTTAAGCTTAAAATCATTACAAAACTTTAAAATGGGCTGTCTTAAAACTTCTAGAATCGTAACTATTTTACGATTTCACTTGTTTGACATTACTTATCTAATTTTAAACTAATGATTTCTTATATTTACGCGAACACTACACATTGAAATAATACTAATTTTTACGGAATTTATCGCGTATATTTAACTTTTTTACCCGACGTTTCGACGACACTTTCACAATTCTACCTTTAGATAAAGTAACTGCATTTTTAGACCATCTTAACTCTATAAATACTAAAATTCAGTTCACAATGGAGTTAGAGGCAAACAATTCCTTAGCTTTTCTAGATGTGTTAGTAATTCGGAATCCTGATAACACCTTGAGCCATACTGTGTATAGAAAAAAGACCCATACAGATAGATATTTAAACGGTGATTCTCACCACCATCCTTCACAGTTAGCTACCGTGGGTAAATCTTTGTTTCAGAGAGCGCGAGGGATCTGTGACAGTAAACACCTGGCTGCCGAGCTCCAACATGTCAAGCAAGTTTTGCATGACAACAAGCTTCGGGTCCCGCGCCTACGTCACAGAGAACGAGTGAAGCCGGCCACAGTCGAGCGTGTACCTGCTGTACTGCCGTATGTTAGAGGAGTCACTGACAAGATTGGCTACATCTTGAAGCGCGCTTCCATCAAAACATACTTCAAGCCGCCGAAGAAGATTGGTCAGTTTTTACCATCAGTCAAGTGTAACGTCCCTCTGCAAGATGCAGGAGTGTACAAGCTTGATTGTGAATGTGGTCTCTCCTACATAGGACAAACTAAAAGATCAATTAAAACCCGCGTCAAAGAACATATAGCTGATGTGAAGAATCGACGCTCCGGGAAGTCTGCAGTCTGTGAACATGTACAGGATCGCCCCCGTCACTACATCAGATTTGATAGACCACAAATCCTCGCTAAAGAACACCGATTCCTTCCAAGGATGATTCGCGAGGCTATTGAAATCAAAAAACATCCTAATTTCAATAGAGAAGATGGCTGGGTGCTACCATCTGCTTGGGATCCTATAATAAATAAAATTAAATCCCAACCCAAGCATACAACTGCAAGACTCCATGATACCATAAGTTCATACTGTGTAGATCGGAACAAAAGTTAAATTTTAATCTATGGTAACCGCGGTTAACTATGACAGCTGGACGTTGAACATCTCAGTCCTTCCCGTGACCATGGGTGCTGTAAAGCTCTCGAAACGTCGGGTAAAAAAGTTAAATATACGCGATAAATTCCGTAAAAATTAGTATTATTTTAATTTTAAACTTTTAAAATAAAATTTACTTATTTAATTTAAAACTTTTATTTTATTATTCCACGAGAATTATTAGGATACACAATGTATAGGAACTAAAAAACTTATACTATCTCAAGTCATTTTGACTAGAATAGAGAAGAATAATATTGTACTTTTTATTATTACTTCTGATTTTCTTTAAATTTATTATTATTTATTTTATTTACTTTTTATAGATTATAGACTGGCCCTAGTAACTCCTCTCTGTTACAACAAAATCATTTACCTATCTGTTTCATATCCGTAACTTAAATTTTTTTAATATGACCCATATTTTAGAGTTAACTAATATTTACAATTGTTACCTGTATCTAAACCTGCGTGTAGCTGTTGTTATATTATCTAAGTCAATTCTCTCTGTAATCTCTTCAGTCTGCCTTTGTTCCACCATGTACTCTTCATATTGATGATTGGATTGTACATTGTGAATAATTGATCTAAAATTCTGCTTGCAGAGTGGGCATTCTGCTTTTACCTGTATTATTGAAAGCAAGTATAGTTGTCTTGTGTCACATTAAGATTAAGAACTTAAAACAAAAATGTCTTCATCAAAACCACTTCACTACCATTAGTACACAAACCACAGCAGCATTAAGCTGATATTCTGTGAGTGTGGTTCTTCTGGAAATTTACGGTTTGGCCATAAACGAATAGGAGTTATTAAACGAAAAAAAAAACCCAGAGTATACCTCCCCCAGAAGTAAATTGATTCTAGTACAGAGGAAAAAGGTTACCAAAACTCAAGTTTGTTTTGCAGTTCAGAATACAAAAAATATATTTCTCTTTCTACTATATTGTTGTGAATCTGAAGTTCCACAGGCGAATCAACATTAAGCTCTTGTAAAGCACAGTATATATAAAGAATTATTATTGCTAAAATAAATGGTAATTTACGAGAATAAAAAAAAACTAAAGCTTCCTTCTTTTGATCATTAAAATATACTTTTAAAGAAGTAAAATTAAACAATAGATTCATTACTAACTTGTTATATAAAAAATATCTAGATTGAGTTATTTTTTAATTACCTATTTAATATTCTTTTTAATAATATGTTTAAAAATTTCAGCTTGTTTCATTTACCACCCACACCCCCTTTTTAGGGAGAATTTGTCTTAATCGTCATGCTTGGCAGGCTTATCGACTACACCAGATGTTTTGCAACTTTGCCTGCCTGCTGACCTACTTGAATATCTTGCATGGATTGAAAATGAAACAGTACTATAGTTTGTGACTTTTAAATTTTTTATTAATAATTTTAGTTAATAACATATAAAACCCGGTCGAGTAACCCGGGTTCGATCCTCGCCGGCACCAATGAAATTGTTAATTAAGTGCTGATTTACCACGTGCTCGGCGCTGAAGGAAAACATCGTGTGGAAACCTGCATGTCTGAGGAATAAGAAAAAAAAAATATTTCGAAGACATGTGAAGTTCGCTAACACGCATTGGGGTAGCGCGGTGGAAAATTCCTTGCCCTAAAACCCTCTCAGAAATGAGGGGAGGCCTGTGCCCAGCAGTGGGACGTATATAGGCTGTAACTTTGTTGTTTTTGTGGTGTAACTTTATTTTACTTTACTAATTTTAGTTAATGACTTAATAGAAAAAAATCTGATAGTTTGTTGTATTTTATAGAATAAGTGGTTCTTTTGTGGCAAACAGTAAAAACTACTAACTAATAAAGCTGAAACAATGTTTTACTTTACTAAAAAGGCGAGATTAACCGACTGTCGCGGATTGTTTTTGACCGCTAGCCTTAGTCTGGAGATTCCCGATGTAAAGAATTGCATCAAAGTATTACTAATAAACACAAAATATATTAGATAATTTTATATAAAATACGAGAAATGTATTAAAAAAAGTGAGAATGTGGTTCAAATTCTTTGGAATCTGAAAAGTAAATACCGGTTGGTAAAGCTCGAATATCTGCGAGGTATAATATAGATAAGTTTGCAGTTGGTTGTAGCAAATAATTTTACCAAGTTTTTATAGGAGCAAACGAGCATACGGCCCACCTGATAGTAAGTGACTACCGCCGCCCATGAGCAACTGCAACACCAGGGGAATTGCAGGTGCGTTGACGGCTTTTTAGAAAGGAGTAAACTCTTTTCTTGAAGGTCCCTAAGTCGTATCGGTCTGGAAAAATTGCTGGTGGTAAACGAAACACAGAGAGGTCGTACGCGAGAGAAACTCTTAATGAAACGTAAAGTGGACGACCGCCAAGCATCCAGATGGTGTGGATGGTATCGGGAGTTTTGCCGATATGTGCGTTTGTGAAATTTGGCGTCTGGTATTAATCTGAACAATTCCTCAGAGCACTCTCCGTGGTAGATGTGAAAGAAAATGCAAAGGGATGCAACATCTCTTTGTTTCAAGCAATGCGAGGAAATTGAGCCTTTGCTTCGCAGTGCAAGACTACATAAAATACTATCGAAGGCTAAATCTAATCAGATCGGGCTTCTTAAAAATCCGGATGGTAACTTCACTAATAGTGGAACAGAAACATTGGAGTTAGCATCAACCCATTTCCCAGGGTCATATAAGACTTCTGCCTTGAATTCTTTCAGAGCCTTATGAAGGCCTTGTAATGAGGACTTAGGTAGGGCTGCAAAGATAATAAGGCCAAACCTGGTGCAGTGGGCTGTTGACTCCTTTAAACCATTTAAAACAAGCGGGGAGGAAGGAATAATTCCCATCCAATTACAGAGGGGTATCGATATCCTTCTTCCCTATCTGGTGAAAATCTTCAGAGCAAGTTTTGCATGGGAATATATTCCAGAAAGATGGACAATTGTTAAAGTTCTATTTATACCTAAGGCTGGTAGAAAAGACTACTCTTTACCAAAGTCCTTTAGACCCATAAGCCTATCTTCCTTTCTTCTTAAGACATTCGAAAAGGTTATACATAGATATATAAGGGATGTAGCTCTAGCTACAAGGCCCATATATTACAACCAGCATGCTTACCACAAAGGCAAATCTATGGAAACAGCCCAGCTACATCTAAAATTGTAAATAATATCGAATAAGTGTGTAACAAGTAGTTAATAATTTAGTGATTATGATGTTTTTACCCATCTACAACGAAGCTAAAAAGAGGGTTATGATTTTGACTGATATAGTCATAATTTCATAATTTGATAAAAAGTATAAGAATTCAATTAGTTTGTTGGAGCAGAAAGGAGGAAGTGAGAGATACAAGTGCTTTTTTTGCTTAAAATTTAGTGTTGTTAATTTACTATAGTAAACTTTTCTGTCTTGGTGGAGGTTTTAACATCTGTAAATTAGTAAGTGTTTGTAGTTGAGCCGTTTTTATGTAATTTTTTGTTGTAGTAATAAAATGGAGGACGAACCTCCCGATCCCGGAAGGGTTCGCAATGATTCCTTTTCCTTACCCATTAATGTTGATAATATAGAACTAATTAACCGTAAACGTGCCCAAGTAAGTAACGAGTCTGCCCATCCACAAAAAGTAGTTATTACTGATCCAAATCAACAGTTTCCTTTAATACAATCCTCATATACCCATCCTGATTTTATTAATAAAAAAGTTAAGTACTCTCAAGATGATGCCGCTCCTTTTCTTGTTCACGTAAGTAAAATCTCAAATGATCAGTTGTCTGGAGTAACTCTTAAACCAATTAAATTCGGTCACTTTCTGTATCATATATCTTTCAATATTAAAAATATAGTCCGTGATGGAGTCAAAAGAGTTGGACGAATTAGAATATCAGTGGAGTTTAGAACAGCAGCAGATGCAAACACCTTTATCGATCACCCAGCTCTCCAAATTTATAAATATGAAGCAACCATCCCCTCATATAGTATCACTCGTATGGGGCTAGTTAGACAAGTTCCCATAGAGAGGACACTAGAAGAATTAATAGCAGCTATAGAAATTCCCTCTGGCTACGGTTCTATAATTAAAGCACGGCGACTTAATAGACGAACAGTTAGTGACAGCAATAGCGCTTCATGGGTTCCAACTCAGACAGTCTTTCTAACTTTTTCTGGACAAAAACTTCCTCCCCATATTTACTGTTTTTACACCTCTATGCCAGTGGAAAAATATGTTTTGCCACTAATTCAGTGTCATAAATGTTGTAGATTTGGCCATGTTACTTCCCAGTGCCGATCATCCCCTCGCTGCTTTGTATGTGCACAGAATCATGAAGGTTTATCTTGTACTCGACAAACTCCTACTTGTCTATTCTGCTCAGGTCCCAAAAAACCCTACCTGTCCTGAACATCTAAGGCAGAAATCTATTAAACTTGTTATGTCACAAGAAAATATTTCATATTTAGAAGCTTCAGCTAGATTCCCTCAGACAAAAAGATCCTTTGCTGATACAACAAGAATCCAGCCTCGTAATTATCAACAGACCCCTTATACCATAACTGACAGTCTTTCAACCCCTTTGGCTCAGCTCTCACAAACTGCATCATATAAAAAAACAATTTTTATCCCTCAACGTACCTACAGCCAATCATTAAATTCTGGATATGATATGGCAGCCCAACAGGCAATTGTTTAGAATCCTAATTCTTCTCTTCCTAATGGGTGTGCTCCACTGGGGAATGACAACAACTCCTCTAGTAATGATAATTTCAGTGAACTTATGATATCAATGCTAATTAACATGATCTCCCGTTTTAGTGACACAGAACTTCTTCTCAGCTTACGCCAAAAACTTACTCAGCTTTCCTCCTTAGCCCGTAACATTTGCAGTCCCACCCATTCTTCAATGGAATTGACGGAGCATTAGAAATAAAAAAATGAACTCATTTACCTCATTAATAAACTTCATCCCTTCATTCTTGCAATCCAGGAGACATGGCTTAGGCCTGAGTCTCATTTTAGGGTTTCAGGCTACGCATGCCTCCAGGATGATAGGAGTGATGGTCGTGCTGGCACCTCTATTTTAATTTCAAGAACAGTTACATTTTCACAAATTCCTCTCCCTTCTCATAGTCCAGCAGTAAATGCTGTTGCTATTAAGGCCCTTGATGTCTTTATTCTCTCTGTTTACATTCCTAATCCTAATGTAAATGTTTTAACAGAACTTGCAACACTTATTTCTTCTCTGTCACCTCCTATGGTTATTTTGGGAGATTTTAATATGCATCATACTGTTTGGGGCTCCCATCTGTGTGATTCACTGGCTCCCTTATTTTAAGATCTTATTGATAATTTTAATCTCTGTATTCTAAATGACGGGTCTCCTACCCGTCGAGTATCCCCACTACAAAATGTTAGAAGTGCCGTTGACCTAACTCTCTGTTCCCCAGATATTGCTTCCCTTCTTTTGTGGCAAATATTACCTTCTAGCTATGGCAGTGACCATTTTCCTATATTCATCACTCCTCCTACTTCCCCTAGAATAAATTTTACATTTTGCCCGAGACTAAAGTATAATCTATCCAAAGCTAATTGGCAATTATATTCTAAAGTTTTGGAACGAGAGGTTTCAACTCTTCCCCCAATTAAGAATGATAATATTGCTCCTGTATATATAGAGTTCAGAAATGCAATTATTTCTGCTGCTAATAAGTCAATCCCTTTAAAAAAACAATTCAAAAAGAATTATCCTTCCCCTCCTTGGTGGGATCAAGATTGTTCAGCAGCTTGTAGGAGGAGAAAAGAGACTGAATTAATATACTCCCATTCTATGACTGCAGAGAATTATATCTCCTATAAAAATTGCTGCAGAAACCTTAAAATTACTGTCAGACAAAAAGCGAACTGGTTGGTTTAAATTCTGTGAGTCACTGTCATCTAGAACTCCCCCATCTTTGGTTTGGGGAAATGTTACAAAATATCGCTGTGCAGTTTCTAGTGAAAATATAATTTTTAATGATCCTTCCTTGTGGATAGATGAATTCTCTAATAAACTTGAACAGTCCCATCTTATGATGAATGCCTAGTATTTAATTCTGCTTTTTCAAAAACAAATGATAAATTTGATTCCCCCTTTTCTTCTCAGGAATTGTCTACTGTACTCAATGGCCTTAAAGACTCCTCACCAGGTATTGATGGGATTCCTTATTCGTTTATAATTAATAGTAGTGAGAACACTAAAACTGTCTTACTATCCATTTTAATTTTTATTTATATTACTGGTGATCCTCCTGCTAAATGGAAAACCCAAATTATTTTGCCCATACTCAAACCAGGTAAGTCTAGCGTGTACTTTGGCAAAAATCTTGGAACATTTAATAACAAATCACTTGGAATGGTTTTTGGAAAGGAATAATCTCTTACCTAAAACCCAATTCGGCTTCCGAAAAGGTTTAAGTACCATGGATAGCCTTAGTACTTTGGTCACAGATATTCATATTGCTTTTTCAAGACATGAATTTCTCATAGGAGTTTTCTTGGATATTTCTTCTGCATATGATAATGTGCTTCTTCCTGTGCTCAGGCAGAAAATGCTTAATCTGAGCATTCCAGTGAGGATAGTCAATTACATCTCTAACTTTCTCTCTTCTAGATCAATATCTATAAATGTTAAAAATTTCCTGCTTCCCCCAAAAACTATATGGAATGGACTTCCACAAGGCTCAGTTCTTAGTCCTCTCCTTTATTCTATAATCTTCTAAATCATGAGTATACATGATTTAGAACTCAGTAAATTCTTTTTGTAATGTTCTTCAATATGCAGACGATTTAGCTCTATACATCTCCTTAAACAACTTCACAGTGGCATGTTCCCGTCTAAACTCATCCATGGATTATTTACAAGAATGGTTAACTAATCATGGTTTCTCCTTATCTGTGGCCAAGAGTAGTGTGGTGATCTTTTCCCGCCAAAGGCGAGTTCCTGATATATCTGTTGTATATGATAAGCAACCTATTCCAGTTAGAGGCAATGTTAAATTTTTGGGAGTTATCCTTGATTCGAAATTGGCCTTCGGTCATTACATTGAATATATAACACAAAAATGCGAAAAAAACATAAATATTCTTCGTCTTTGTCTGGTGTTTGGTGGGGGTCCCATCCTTTTTCTCAGATATTACTGTAAAATGCTTTAATAGGAAGCCATCTTGACTATGGATGTTTGCTCTTGGAGCCTTGCAATAAATCATCCCTGAAAGTAATGGACAAAATTCAATCTAAATGCCTTCGCATTATTACCGGGCCAATGAAATCCTCACTAATAAATATTCTTCAGGTTGAGTGGTGATCCTCTTTAAGATTAAGAAGGCAATACCTTTCAGATTTCTTGAGAGAGATTCTTATTTAAGATCTGCCAGCTTTCAGATCATCCCCTAATTCCTAAATTGCATCTTCTTTCATAGTATATCTCATCTGACTGATACTGGACCCATAAGGACTCTCCCTGCTTGTTTAAAAGTTTTGTATTTTCTTCAGCTTCCTTACCCAATCTTTCAATATAAAATAAATCCACTCTTTGATGTCCTTTTTCCTTTTTTGGCTATTGTTTACCAACCTGACATTCATCTAGATCTAGGTATAGAAAAGGATTCTCCAATGGCAAATTTGAAATTAAAAGAAATTATAGAAAACATCTTTAAAGATTGGCTTGTCATGTACACAGACGCTTCCAAACAGTCTGATGAAGACTATACTGGAGCTGCTGTTTGGATTCCTAAGTTCAAAATCATTCTTAACTTTAAATGCCCCTCACTATCCTCTACTTTTACCGGTGAAGCAACTGCAATCAGTGAAGCTTTGTTATATGTAGAGTCACATAATCTTAATAAAACAGTTATTTTCACAGATTCAAAAAGTTGTTTGTTAGCTATTTTGTCCAATCAATTCCATAACAAACATAAATTTCCACTAATTCTTAAAATAAAAAATACCCTATTCAGATGCCATCTTAAAGGAATCCATGTTTCAGTGGCCTGGATCCCAGGCCACAATGGTATCCATGGTAACGATGATGTACTCGCTAAAAATGCAATTGCTAATGGCATTCTACAAAATTTGATTTACTCACATGACCTAATTTTGCTAGCTATAAGGAAACTGAATGAAAATTGGAATAAATTATGGGAAGTTTCCAAAAATGTTAAAGGTAAGCACTATGCTGCCATCCAAGAGGTTATTCCTCCCGAGCCTTGGTTCTTTAAATTTAACAAAACAAATAAACATGCAACTTCAATCATTTGTGCCAAACCACATCGGAGGTCTTCAACATATCCAAGATAACGGCCAATGTCTTTCCCTTGGACTCTACTGCCTTCGCCCATTTGTGAGTCAGGCAGGCCAGAAGATCACTTGCTGATCGACCCCGAAGAAAACGATATTGGCGGTCACTAATCAGCTAGTGATCACCAAGATACCTCATGAGCTGGCAATTCATAATGGATCCCATTATTTTGAAGAACAAGGATGCAATTGCGATAGGCCTGTAGTTAGATGGGTTTAAGTGGTCGCGTTTTTAGGGATTGGGTGGACAAAAGCAGTCTTCTATGACTAGGGAGTAGGAGTACTGGAAAAGACGCGTTAGTACCGGTGCCAACTTGCGAGCAAACATCCTCAACACAATTGGGGGGATTCTGTCAAATCCACTCGACTTGTGGATAGCCTAAGGAGAGGAGTTCTTCGCGATCCGAGCTCTGTGTGAACCGCACATTTGGCATAAAGCACTCACAATGAAAAAGACACTCACAATGAGAAAGAGCTCAGCAAATCAGCTTTGTCATTTGCGGCACGGGCCAGTGAGTCGTCCTCCCTGTACAGAGATGGAAGAGATGGCTGACATAAGTTCCCTTGGACAGTCTTGGTGAGAGATCAGAATACACAGGTTCCCGAAGGAAGGCAAACTACTTTATCACTAATTCTGCCTATGTCTTCTGACTTTACTATGGCAAAGACTCTTTTGAAGGACTTGGAGGCAGAATTATACTTCTTTTTAAGGGTGCTGTTATTATATAATATCTGAACTTAAAAATTTTACTATGGTACATACATTAGGGGTAAAGTTCCACCATATTCTATGATGGCACCTTGTTGCGCTAAATTTAAATGGGGAGACTGAAGAAATGCTTAAAATAAAAAATTACCTTTTAATTCTTAAGAAACAAAGGTTTCAACAGATGCTTAACATTTTACATGAATGCTTGAGGACAAAAAAAGTTAATAAAATGGTTAATGATATGCGTAGAACAAAAACCCATATACAATATTTGTCAAAACTTTTTGCTACTCTTGCATCAAGATCTTGATAGTCTTTTGTCTCTAATTATAAGAAAAAGTTGGCTTCACCATTACAATCCCAAAATGAAATTACACTGTCTTGGAAAGACCATTATTGCCACAAGTCCTAAGAAATTACAAATGAGCTGGTAGCATGATAAACTCTTTTGTGTAAGATATTCAAGGGATTGTAATGATAGAATGAAGCTTCTGTTACGGATACTTTGTATGCAAATAAATATATGTACAGAAATGCAGATGGCTAGTCAAGATCAGCTCAGGGTAACAACTAAAATGCTGTCTTAAAAGTAACACTACTACTACATACTAATAGTAGTCAAAAAACTTCATCCCATTTTTTCACCAAATTTATAAGGAACTACACCTGAAGATTTAATAAAAAATAATCATTTTATATTTGTTAACAATATAGTCAAATTAACAACCTGCTCCTGTACTCCTGCTTGCTCCTCTACTGATGGCACTATCATTGAATTAAAAGAAATCTAGGTTCTACCCATTCTCACTTTTTATATAGTAAATCTAAGTATACCCCTCTTAGTATATCTAAGTTCACTGACATGGTGTTTTCATTATTTTATAATAATTTTTTTGTTGTACTTGCAAGTAACAAATGTGGAAAATTTCACTTTAAGTCTTAAAAATAATTTCTTAGGTTACATAATATAAAAAAAAAGAAAACAAACTTACTTTGCTCCATGTTAATAAACATTTAAAACAGAACTGGTGTAAGCATGAGTCAGTAAAAGACTTGTTCCGACAAGTCCCTAAACAAATTGCACATTTTGGAGGAGGAGACCCACGACCACTATCATGTTGAGGGCTGCTATCATCACTCTTCACACTACTTGGATTTGCTCCTGAACTGTCATCTTGTGCAGCAGTAGATAATGTCTCCATTTTGATGCCTTATCGGATAAATAAAAAATGTAAGACAAAAGATTAAAAAATTGCTTAAAATCTATACACTATAAATCTCTTTATTGTTGATATAAAATTGACACATTCATGCTTTACTTACTGGTATTCTTTATTTTTTATTTAATAAAACATACCAATTTTTCCTTAGAGCATCATCGAGCTGTATATCAATTTTTGAGTTCTTGCCTCAGAAGTACAATATGAATCCATGAGGCAAGACCAGTTAGTTTAAAATGAATATTAAATGTATATCATTGAAACTCCTTACACAGGTGTTTATTAACAAAAAATAGTACAACATCTCAATACATGATTTCTTCTGCATTAAGTAGGCATTTAACAAAGATCTCAGACAAGCACCACACATGCACCACACATGCACCTTGGATAATTATCTATTCCTATGCAATGCCAGTTAAAACACTTAGCCAGCCACTGCACCATTAAGTTAAATCTATTTTGCTGTCCTCTTATTAACATCTAGTACTGGCGCCAACTATTTTCTTATTCTTATCCCTTAATCGGAATGATTATAATCCTGGCCCAAATTTTTAAAAAAAATTGCTACTTTTGACAATTAGTGTTTTAGAGGATAATTAATTGTCCATAAAAATTAGCCTATTAATACATTGTCAATTTTTAAAATATAAAAGTCAATTAAAATAAGCTATCATATATAGAACTTGAAATTATTATTTATTTACAACTAATTTTCTTCAATTCATCATACTTTAAACGTCTTTTATATCAGTTTTGAATAGTAGTAAGAGAAATTATAGAAGGATGACACTTCCGAGATAATATAGATAAACTCTCTGAACATAGGAAGAAACAAGATTTTTATTAGCATACGATTTGTTATTTGACATACCTTTTCAATGAGTTTCCAAACAGAATTCCTCACATTATATTATACATGATCACTATATAGGTGAATGCTTTAGCTTTATCAATCTTTAATAATTTAGATGTGTACAATAATAATCATTTTTCACTGCACTATATTGTCAATGTGCGTTTCTTGAATTCTTTATTTCATGCAAAATCCCATAGAGTAGAGTAACATACAAAATCCACAGACCACAGAGTACTTTTTTATATACCTGAAACCATAGACAGATTAGAAAAGTAGAAAACCACAAAGAAATTACCAGTGTAACAGTTTTTTAAGTAAAGCGATCTACTGAAATAGCTTGTTATAAGTACAAAAAAAATAACAACTCAAATGCCTACATGCAAAAATAAAAATATTTTAAAAATTTGGTTAATAATTCAATAAGACCTTGCTTTACATAATTGGCGCGAAAGGTGCGTAAGCTTAAATAAGAGTCTATTCCTCTTTTGAGTTTCACAATGTTTATTTGAAGATAAGATACTGTACTGTATATTTATCTGAGTTCTTTCATGCAACTTTTTATTTCTACGCCTAATTCCGAAACGGGAACAAACATAGGAAATATTTTCGAAATTTCACAACAAACAAAATTCACCAATTTATGGTATTAATCTTCTTACTTTAATACTGTTGATGAAAAGAAGGGAGGGGAAGAATAGTTTTGTATTAGTGTCTTTAAATTATTAGTGTTTTAACTTTAATTGTGTAAAGTAAATTAAGTGTTATTTAGCTAGTACACCACCCTGAATCAGGGTACCTACGCCCTAATCAGGGTGGTGAAATAAGCTTATGCTACTACATCAAGCAAAACATGACGATATATCGATATTTATCACGCGATAGTATTGATACGGTTTAAAAATATCGATTCAATAAATATATATATATATATATATATATACTTCACAAATAGGAGTACTAACGTAATAACTTACTTTTTTCTCTTGTCCATCTCTATGACTGAATAAGGGGGTAAAATCAGGGTAGTGTAATAACTGACGTCCCTAATCAAGAGCCACGCCCATTCTTCATTCAGGGCTCTGATTCATTGTAGTGCTTTGAGTATTAAACTAAAAGAGACGGCATCGCAAGGTATACCCCTCTGTAAAAGGCACGAGAGTCCAACACATATCAGTTATATAAAACTAGTTGCTCCGTGTCGTGCACCATTACGCAAGTGATCATGCCAGTCAATTGAGCTCCGACAAAAATGCCGAATTGCAGTGTATTTTCATGCAAAAAACCGCCATATCTACAAAAGGACAACGTAACTTTTCATGTGTTAATACTTTGAACATAATATTATCCTTAAAACTCGTATTTTCAGTTCCGTTTGCGCACCGCTCTCGAACGAACGTGTTAAGAGTTTGCGCTCCCATCCCCGTTCGGCAGTGCCCCCTCTCACTCGCACGCCTCCGCTCTCCCACTCACACCAGCTGAGCTGTCGCCGTCGGTGAGTCACTGGTTTTTTTTGCACCGTGGTTTGGTTTTTCTTGCCCCCCTCGCTTCAGCGGGGAGGTCTGAGCGCGCTTTGCTGTTTACTTGCTCTTTTCACAACAAGGACCCCTGTTTCTTCGAAATAAATGTCAGCCCCCCTGTCCAGCCAATAAGTCCATCATGAACCTCAGCCAAGTTATGGCCCTACTCTCCAAGTTCTTTAAAATTTAATAGACTATTCTCGCTAAAGCGCTAGTCCCCCTTGCTCCTAAGGCTATTGTCCCTCCGTCGCGGATTTTTAGCGGCCTAAACGGCTGCCTCACAGACCAACACGCTTGCGTCTCTCGACTCCGACATGGAGTGCTCGGACACCAAGTCCGTTACGTCACCCTCTCGCAAGAGTTCCGCCCACAATTCATCCGGTTGCTGCTCCTCTGAGTCGACCGACTCCGAAGGAACGGTGACTGACACGACGTCCTTCTCCCTGGTAAAGTCCAAGCGCGGCCCGAAGCGTGCCGCAACTTCCCCGCAACACCCTCTACCCCGGCAGCCCCTACCGCCACCCGCGCCGGACACCGCGGTCGATTATCTCAGCACCCTGATAAAATCCTACCTTAATGACAATGAAAGGGTTGTCCTAGTTGCTAAAACTAGTCTTCCTCTAGATATTAGCCACCTGATCAAAGCCAATAGAGCTGCTCTCCGTAGAGCTGCACACTATCCCACTCCTGAATAAAGACTTACGGCCCAACGCCTCCAACGTAAACTCCGTTCATGCCTCAAAGAATTTAGAAACCTCGAAATGAGCAATCTCATGGAGAATATCTCTCCTCTCATACAGCGTACTACCAGATGGCGAGAGCCCTCCGGATAGACGCTATCACTCATACTCCCCTTATCTCTCGTCGAGACGGCTCTATTGTCTACGAGGACGAAGAAAAGGCTGAGTGCTTCGCCGACAGTGTTGCCGCACAATGCTCTCCCAGCTCACAACAATCCGACCCTTCCCATATCCAGGAAGTGGAGGACGAGTTCCGTTGCCGGAACTCACCCTCCTCTACCTCTGACCCTATCACTGTGTCCAAAGATAAGATTACATCAATCATCAAAGGACTGAAGCCCAAAAAAGCACCGGGTACGGGTGGCATCTCCAAACAAGCCCTTAAACATATTCCGAAACAGGTAATTGCCTTATTGTTTATAATCTTTAACGCCTGCTTTGACTTCAGCTACTTCCCCACCTCTTGGAAAGAGGCAACTGTCATTGGCATTCCCAAGCCTGGCAAGCCTCTGCACCGCCCTTCCAATCACCGTCCCATCAGCTTCCTAAAGGCCATGGTCAAACTTTTCGAACGAGTTATCCTCACGCGCATGAGGCGCCATCTGTTTCACACAGTGACCCCCTTGTCATCCCTCAAAAATTTGGGTTCCGAGCCAAACACTCGTGCCCCAGCAAGTTCACCGTATAGAGGAATATATCCTCCGCGGTTTTTATCTTCGCCGTCAGAAGAACATCGCGGTCTTTTTCGACATTGCCAAGGCATTTGGTAGAGTCTGGCATAAAGCCCTTATCTACAGACTGTACGACTCAGGCCTCCCTGACCGTCTTGTCCGCCTCGTGGCCTCCTATTTCAAGGATCGTACCTTTCGTTTCAGACACGAAGGCATGCTATCCTCTCCTTGTCATATCAAAGCCGGTGCTCCTCAAGGCTCTGTGCTTGGCCCTCTATTATACATACTACTCACCAACGACATTCCCATCCCGTCGAATGGTGTCAAACTTGCCCTCTTTGCAGATGACACAGCCCTTTACTCTAAAGGCAACTCGTTGCTACAGATCCGGAACAAGATCAAAAAGTCAGTTAGTGACTTAGAAGCTTGTTTCCAAAAATGGTGTATCGATGTAAACCCAGAAAAGAGCTCCGTCGTTTGCTTCGACTATAAACGACGCCGGCCCACTGCCACTCCGCCAATCAGGTTGTTAGGAACCCCTGTCTCCTGGCAAACGAAAGTCAAATACTTAGGCGTCACCCTTGATACGTTGCTCACTTTCGAGCCCCATATCAAGAAGTTAACTCGCACCGCGCGATTTTACATGGGTAGGCTCAACAGCATGTTGGGTAGACACAGTAAAATGTCTCTCCGCAACAAGCGAACCCTATATAAGGTCTTTATACGACCTGTTATGACCTACGCGGCCCCTATTTTTGCTTATGCTAAACCTAGATTATTAAATGAACTTCAAATAGTTCAAAACCTCTTCTGTCGTCGAGCTACGAACGCACCACTCCACAGAGATTTAGAGCTCCCGAAAATTCAGCAATTCTTAAATTCACTCTCTGAGAACTTCTTCAAAGTCTCAGAGTCCCACTCAAATTACTTCATTCGCGAGGAAGCTGCCTATGCAGCCCCACTTCCCACTAGCTATAGTGTTCGCAGGCCGAGAAACTTCCCCTTGGACCCGCCCAACAAACTTTCGGCCAACCTGAACTGCCTCCTGGTGGCTCAGACCGAGCCTCCACATCTCATCTTGTAATCTGCCTTAGTTAGGCACACTTCTCAGGGGCTACATGCCACCAGCGCCATCCGCCATCCACCGCATCATACAGCCGCCATCGATAACTAGTCTTTATCAAAACTATATACAAAAGAAAGGCCAAATAAGTTGAAACGAAACTTGCCACTTCGTAGCAAATGTAGTTATATAAAATGTCGTTATATAAAAATAGTTGCTCTGGGTTGAGCGCTATTACACAAGTGATCGTGTCAGTCAATTGACCTCCGACAAAAATGCCATGCAAAAAAAACAATCAAAACCGTCAAATCTAGAAAAGTACAACGTGATTTTTCATCTGTGATACTTTTAACATAATATTATAGTTAAAACAAAATATTCAGCTCAATCCCAACACGATTCTGAACATATTATAATTTAATATAATCGATAACTAGTCTTTATCAAAATATTATACACAATAAAGGCCAAATAAAATGAATCGAAACTTGCGACTTCGTAGCAATTGTATGCAATTTTTGTAAACTTTTTTTTTATAATAAATTTTAAATATAATTTTTGTAAACTTTTGACTTGGACATGAGTTTTAAACGATCCTTTTAAAATGTTTTACGCGGTGATCTATCCATGTCAAAAACATTTATTTTAATCCTCTTTAGTTTTCTCCACGTGACATCGGTTAACAAATTACATTTACATCCGGAATCGATTAATAATGACGTCTTGACACCACCTACCCAACAATTAATATTAGTGTCATCTATATGAAAAACATAATCGATTTCTTCCTTTTCCTCCCTCCTTGGTTTTTTTTGTGGCGGTAGGGTCTTGTGAACTTTAAAATTGTCTTTTGGGTGGCCTTCCTGTCAAACAATACTTCCGAAAGTGTCCCGCTATACCACATTTATGGCATTTAATTTTCCTTGCGGGGCATTCTATTGATTGAGGCATATGCTTAAAGCTCCCCACACCTAGTACACGATTTGTTAAACATCTTTCTTCTGTTGTCAATTTTATTCATGGTACTGCGATTACATACGGAGTTGTGAGTAAATTCACCCATCTGTCTATTCACACTTTCTAAACTATTTGCTTCTATTATGAAATCCTCTAATGTCATTTTGTCACTTTTTAAAAAAAAATTACGAAGCTCACCCGAGTAACACTTTTCTGTAATTTGATCGATAATGCTTTCGTCCTTATTTGCAAAACCATATTTATCAGCCTGTTTTCTTAATCTAATTAAAAATTTCTCAAAAATTTCTCGAGATCCTGTTTTTCAATTTTTCCTTTTTGTTTTGTACTGGTCTTTTCAGGTTGTGATAATGATATTTGCGCTTCTAGAAATTGTTTCTTCGTAATTCGTTTATAATCTACAAGAAAGGAAATATACAAGCAGATTTAACCAATATTTTTGTTACCTTTTTTCTGTTTTGGAGTTTGAGTTTTGTTTTAATGAGATTTGGCAGAGCAGAGTAGCCGCCCACCTGCATCGTCTGGGAATAAAATAGGGAAAGTGTGTATTTACGCGACAAGGTTTTTATACCAGGTATTTACTTGCAAGTACGCCGACCAAGTGCCGACCCAAAATACTTGCAAGACTTCAAAGTATTCGAATATTCTCGCTCTGTCGACACTCTACGCGATTCTGCACTCTTCAAGGTATATTTACTTTAAAGGATTGGAAATATTTTTTTTGTAAACGCGATTGTGCTCTTTATTTGTATATAGCTACAGTTCAATATTCTATGCAAGTATTTTTCTTACAAGTCTTGAAAGTTGGAACTTTTAAAGGTTTGGAAGTATTTTTTTGTAAACGTGGTTGTGCTCTTTATTTGTATATGGTTACAGATCAATATTCTATGCAAGTATTTTTCTTACAACAAGTCTTGAAAGTTGGAACTTTCAGAGGGTTGGAAGTACTTATTTTTTAAGCGTGAATTTATTCTTTATTTGTATATAGTAACAGATCAATATTCTATGCAAGTATTTTTGTTCCATCAAGGCTTAAAAGTTTACTATTTTAGCATATTCATGCGATTTCACTACTTATTTATATATTCTTACGGATCAATTTTCGATGCAGAAATAAAATACTTGAAAGTATCTCATCTCAAGCCCTGGTTTTTGGCGCTGGTATTTGAAGGTGGACGTACTTGCAAGCCCTGGTACTCGATTTTGCAAGTACGACCTATCTCTAGAATGAAAGAAAACGCAAATTGTGAATATTGTGGTGACGTGAATGGAGACCTAAACATCGGGTTTTTCAATGTTGTCAATTTGGTTTGAATAGATTACTCCTCATTAATTCACATTCAAGATATTAACAATGATAAAGTTCCTGATGCTCTTCAAAGCCTATTAGCTGATGAAAAATTCTTCCGACCGTTATATTCCTTTATTTCTGGTGTTCAAGATATATAAAAATGAAAACATGATATTATTTAATAGTGTAAACTTGAAAAACTTTGTGATTTGTGAATCAGTGTAAATGTGTAAAAGTGAATTTTTGATGAATGGTTTCGTACATGACTTATCTAATTTATAAAGATTTTAATTCAATTATATATGGTAACTTCAGGCTCAGAAGGGCTAGGACCCAGAGTCCTAAAGCCAGTTAATAAAAAAAATTACATTGACAGCACTTGACAGGCTAATTAATGCAGAATGTCAAAAAGAATTTAAAAATAGAAAAGTATTTGCAAAGAAAAGTTAAATATATTATAGTTTGTTCACGGAATTTAATCTACTACCCTTTGAGACGACTAAGATAAGTTGAACTCTGTGGAAACAATGGGTGTTTTAAAAAAGGTGTTATTTTTATTTTTTACCTTTTTTGTTTTTTTGTATAATATTGTTATATAACGGAAACATTATAATTATAGTTTTCCTATGCACTAATTTTTAAAGTTTCTTAACAATCAATTCATCCATAAATATCTAAATGATTCCTATTTTATATTGTTTTCTAAATCAGACTACAGGTCTTATGGGCTTAGCAGTTGCTGCTAACCCACATCATACCCTTGGTTCACTTTATGGCAAAATATTAAGGACACTGCAGAAAATGCCATCAAATGCAGCTTATAGAAAATACACTGAACAAATTGTTCGTGAGAGGGCAGCTGTACTACAACAGGTAATGATTTTGTTTTTAAAAGATCTGATTGTTAAAACATCAGATTTTGACCTTTTTAACTTTAAAGGCCCCGACATGGTCAAACAGTTTAATTCAAACACATGGATTTTGATTTGAGTCAAACCAATTTGATTGTTTACGCTGTTGGTATGACAGGTTTGATCAAATGTTACGTGTTTGAACCTCATGTGATGGAAATTTATAATTTGGTTTTGTTCAAAGCGCAATTGGATTGTGTTCGCGACATGCTTGATTAAACCTCATCAGTCTTGTGCTGAATTTCAAAGCAATATGTTCTGTGTGGTTTCCAAATTGACAGACAAAGATGAAATAAACATTTAAAACGCCTCAACGTGGTCACGACATGATTTGTCATTGAAGTGACTGTATCCAACGACTATATCAAACAATATCTTAATTTGTACCATTCTTTGCATCAAATTCTTTTTCTTTTTTCTTATTATTTAAGCAGACATTAATACAATAAAAGTGAGAAAATCTTTATCAATAGTCAATGGCGTTTTTTGAAATCACAATGGGACTTTTTTGTTTGAACTTTGAAGACACACTGCACGTTTCTGTTTGATGCAAATTCAAAGCGACATCAAACAGTTTGGTCAAACACGTGAGGTTTGAATCAAACTATTTGACCGGCTCGGGGCCCCTTTAGTAATGGGAATTCGAGATAATTTTGTAATTTAAAACTGTTGGACATTGCTTTGCAGTAACTACTATCTATAGTGAATACTAACATTTATAATAATAACAATATTGAATAGTCTTCCTTACGGCACAGAATAAATAATACTACAGAAGTTGCACTCCTTTGATGTTGACTGATTGCCAACATTTAATAGCCTACTACAACCTAAAATATTATTTTTAATTGGATAAACAATATTTTCGCATCTCTGCGAGTTCTGTGATGCCTAATGTATGCAACTTGCAAAACCATTCGTGAGAAATCGCGATACTAGGCTTGGAAGAAATAGGTAGATAGTGAAAACAATAAATAAACCCGAAATATGATTCCTCATAGAAATGTGATCATATTATACTTAGTTAAAATCTTGTTAGTAAACAAAGTTTTAATTTCAGTATTTTGTGTTATAAATTAAAATATTTTAATTACAAAAGACAAGTATAGGTATGTAAGTAGATACTTGGGTAGTGAAGTAAATTTCAACTAAGTTTTGTAATATATGCTTAGGTATTACTTCTGTAGTTAAATTATTACTTTATTCTTTTTTATCCCTAAAATATGAAATAAACAGGGTGTAACATGTGAACAAAGTAGAAGTTTATGGCATTGATATTTTACAAAACAAAACAAAAAATTTTGTTTTTTATTTGACGGTACAACGTCTAATAAATCGATGAACGCCGGCTGCACGCACGAAAAGGGATGACACATTATAACGTTACGCTCATTGTAACATTACGATCGGAGCGAGAGCGCTGTACGAGCGAGAGAAAGGCACGATCGGCTTGAGTGTTTGGTTTGCACCGCATTTTTTTATAGAAGAGGGGCCAAACAAGCATACGGTTCACCTGATGTTAAGTGACTACCGCAGCCCATGATCAACCGCAACACCAGAGCAATTGCAGGTGCGTTGCAGGCCCTTTAGAAAGGTATAAGCTCTTTCCTTGATGGTCCCCAGGTCTTATCGGTCCGGATAAATCGCCGGTGGTAAACTATTCCACAAACAGGTCGTACACGGAAGAAAACTCCTTGTGAAATGCACAGTGGTGGACCGCGAAGCATAGCACTCCCCGTGATAGATGCGATAAAATACGCAAAGGGATGCAACATCTCTTCGCAGCGCCAGTAAATCGAGCCGATCGGAAAGCACTCGGTCGTCGACGGTTCGAGCCGCTCTGCGCTGGATGCGGTCAAGTGGAAGGAGCTGGCACTGGGGAGCAGTATTCCATGTGCGGTCGAACCTGCGCCTTGTAAAGTTGCAGGCGGTGTGCCGGCATGAAATACAGTTCTGCTCTGTTGAGCATGCCAAGCTTTTTAAAGACCAATTTGACCTTCTCTTCCAAGTGACCACGAAACTGCACGTCATTCGATATGTCGACGCCGAGGATTCCGATACTGGTTGAGGCAACAAGAGGAGTGTCTTTAAACTGAGAAGATACGACAAAGGGGTTCTTTTTAGCGGTTAACGCGCAAACTTGTGTCTTGTGAGGGTTAAGCTGGACTAGATTTAGTCGCCCCCAATCCGAGACTTTGTTCAGCAAAGATTCGACTTCAGACACAAGTTTGTCCGGGTACTCGGAGACGTTTTCCCGAGAAATATTGGACGGCCGGTGTAAAGAGCATCACCAGTGCTGTCATCTGCATAGCAATGAATGTTGCAGGTTTGCAACATATTGATATGCAGAAGAAACAGCGTTGGTGATAGCACGCAGACTTGTGGAACACTAGCATTAATAGGCCTGTAATCGGAGCTTGCACCGGCTACAACGACCTTGATACTCCGATCTGCAAGAAAGCTGGTGATCCAATTGCACGTTTTCTAGGGAAGTCCATAGGAAGGGACCTTCGAAAGAAGCGCTTTGTGCCAAACCCGATTGAAAGAGAGGAAAGAGAATATAGAGAGATAAGTATAGATGAAATAATGAAAACAATGAAAAGCATGAAAGCAGGTAAAGCAGCCGGATATGATAGTGTATCACTCGAAATCCTAAAGGCTGGAGGAGAAGTGGTGGCAGGTCTATTTTAAACCTTGTTTAATTTATGTTAGGAACTGAAGCGGGTAAGTAACGGGAGACTGGTGCAAAGCTGTGATAGTCCTAATATATAAAGGTAAAGGGTCGCAGCGGGACTGTAAAAACTACCATGGTATCAGCCTTCTTAGCATTGTAGGAAAACAGTATGCTAAGGTAATAATTGAGAATAATGAAAGAAACTGATGGAAAAATTTGAGATGTGCAAGCGGTATTTACAAAGGGAATAGGGTGTGCAGATCAAGTCTATTCCATGCGTATGATTGCGGAGAAAGTTTTCGTGCGTTCATGAACTTGGAAAAGGTTTATGACAGAGTGGACAGGGATGTGTTATGGCAAATACACTGAACTCATTTAGGTTGAGCGCTGGGTTTATTTTTATAGAAGAAGGGGCAAACGAGCATGCGGCTCACCTGATGTGAAGTAACTAGCGCCGCCCATGATCAACCGCGACATCAGGGGAATTGCAGGTGCGTTGCCGGCCCTTTAGAAAGGGGTAAGCTCTTTTCTTGAAGGTTCCCAGGTCGTATCGGTCCGGAAAAATCGCCGGTGGTAAACTATTCCAGAGAGGTTGTACGCGGAAGAAAACTCCTTTTGAAATGTACAGTGGTGAACCACCAAGCATCCAGATGGTGTGGATGGTATCGGGACGTTTGCCGCGTAGTGCGTTCACGAAATTTGGCGGCTGGGATTAATCCGAACAATTCCTCAGAGCACTCCCCATGGTATATGCGAAAGAAAATGCAAAAAGATGCAACATCTCTTCGCAGCGCCAGTGAATCGAGCCGATCGGAAAGCACTCGGTCGTCGACGATTCGAGCCGCTCTGTACTGAATGCTGTCAAGTGGAAGGATCTGGTACTGGAGAGCCCCAGCCCAGAGATGGAAACAGTACTCCATGTGCGGCCGAACCTGCGCCTTGTAAAGTTGCAGGCGATGTGCCGGCATGAAATACTGTCCCGCTCTGCTGAGCACGCCAAGCTTTTTAGAGGCCAATTTGGCCTTTTCTTCCAAGTGTCCACGAAACTGCGTCACTCGATATGTCGACGACGATGATTCCGATACTGGCTGAGACAACAAGGGCAGTGCCTTGAAACTGAGGAGATACGACAAAGGGGTTCTTTTGAGCGGTTAACGCGCAAACTTGTATCTTCTGGAGGTTAAACTGCACTAGATTTAGTCGCCCCCAATCCGAGACTGTTCAATAAAGACTCGACTTCAGACACAAGTTTGTCCCGGTACTCGGACACGTTTTCCCGAGAAATATTGGCTCGGCCGGTGTAAAGAGCATCACCAGTGCTGTCATCTGCATAGCAATGTGAATGTTTGAATGTTACGGGTTTGCAACATATCATTGATATGCATAAGAAACTGGGTGATATAGGAGTCTCTTTATAGGGACTCTAGTGCTTGTGTTAGGATAAACAGGGTCTACTCGGACTGGTTTTGGCATCCATAAAGGTGTCGGACAGGACTGTGTGGCTTCTCCGTGGCTGTTCAACCTATTTATGGACAGTTGTTTGGAAAATTTGAAAGTTGAAGAATGCGGGTTAAGAATGGGTGAATTAACCGTCAAATGCCTTTTATACGCTGATGATCAAGTCGTATTTGCGTTTTAGGCGGCCGAGTTGCAAATGATGGTTTTATTAATGAACAGGTCATTAAAAGAAAGGGGAATGAAAGTGAAGGCAAGTAAGACTGAAAGTTATGATTTTTGAAAGAGAAGAATGTAAAACGATATGAGAAATAAGAATAGAAGGAGTTGGTCGAGCAAGTAGATGAGTTTGTATACTTGGAATGTGTATTCAGCAGGGATGGGAGGTATGATAAGGATATGGAACGACGAGTGAACGCAGGAAATAGAGTAAATGGGGCTCCACTCTATTGTGAAGTCAGAATGTGTCAAAAAAAGCACGTATGGCAATTCACAATGCTGTGTTAGTCCCTACTTTAACGTATGGTAGAGAAAGTTGGCTGTGGCAGAAGAAGCACGAGAGTAGAATAAACGCAGTAGAAATGCGGTCGTTAAAGAGTATGTTAGGGCTAAATCTGGGTGACAGGGTGAGAAATTGTGCGATAAGAGAAAAGTATGGTTTTGTCATGTAGAAAGAATGAATGAAGATCGATTAACAAAGCAAATTTAGGTTGGAGAAATCAACGGCAGAGTCAGAAAGGGACGTCCTAGGCTAAAGTTTATCGACCAAATTGGCGATATATTGAAAATGGGCCAAATTAAGAGCACTCTTAACCGACGAGCGTATATGCGTATGTGAGAGAGGTGTGCCGGGATCGTGCCAAATGGAAGTCTGTAGTCTCTGCCTACCCATCTGGGTGACAAGTGTGAGTGTTTATATATTATTATATGTAGGTATAATTGGACAAAGTAGGTAACCACGTGAAGAGACTTGAAGAGGAATACTGGCGTAAAGATAGATTAGTTGATGAATTATTTATCATCAATACAGGAACATAACATAGATACATACATAAACACTCACGCCTGTCACCCAGAGGGGTAGGCAGAGACTGCAGACTTCCATTTGGTACGATCCTGACACACCTCTCTCGCCCCCTTCACATCCATATACCTACGCATACATGCTCGTCGGTTAAGGGTACTCCTAATTTGGCCCGTTTTCAATAAAACGCCAATTTGATCGATAAATTTTCGTCTAGGACGTCCCTTTCCGACTCTGCCATTCACTTCTGCAACATAAATTTTCTTTGTCACTCTTTTCTCATTCATTCTTTCCACATGACCAAACCACCGAACCATTCCTTTCTTAATCATGGTCACATCATCATCCTGCAAATCACACTCTTCTCTTATCACACAATTTCTCAATCTGTCATTCAGATTCAGCCCTAACATACTCCTTAACGACCGCATTTCTACTGCGTTCATTCTATACGTTAAAGTAGGGACCAACACAGCATTGAGAATTGCCATACGTGCCTTTTTCGACACATTTTGACTCTTCACAATAGAGTGTAGGGCTCCATTTACTCTTATTTCCTGCATTCACTCGACGTTCTATATCGTAATATATAGGTAATATAATACAGGAAATGATAGTGAATCAGAGACAACATACTCAGAAACCAATGCTATATCTGTTTAAGATTATATGAGTGGATATGAAGAATAAGGTTAATAATATAAATTTAAAAAATAAAATAAACATTGATATTTTTTATAATAGTTGATTTTATTTGTAGCTTATCAGTATCACTATCTCTCTTTGAGTACCGTCGAAACTATGTACGTTAAAGTCGGTTCAGCGGTTTATACGTGAAAGCGACAGAGTTACTTTCACATCGATAGTATTGTATAGTACTTTTTGTTCAATGTACTTTTTAATAGCGGAAGACGTCGCGTGAACGTTAATGTGACAAGGTTCCAACGCATTACCTATTTGTTCTTGTAGCACAAGTCTTAAGAAAACATTTTTATAGTCTGCATTACCTATACATAATGTAAGACGCGTGGCGGGAGAATCCATCATGTCATTTTGTGACGTTGATGTCCGAAGTGGCTACTATAGGAAATGTTAGAAATATCTTCGGCTTCCGAAAGATGGCGGTATAACTATTACGTTTAGGTCAGACATAAAAACCCAAATCGGAGACGGGCAGCAGGGCCAAATGTGCCAAGATGTGTAGTACTAATGCTTTAATATATAACGCTTATACTTATATAAAGCATAATATTACTATATTAATACTTTGAAAACTTTGTGACTTTCTTTTCAGACAAAAGATGTGTTTGAACTGGAATCGAAAATTAACTGTGGCCATGCTAAAGAACTTATAATACAAGCCGAAAATGAACTTAATTTAGCCAGAAAAATGTTAAACTGGAAACCATGGGAGCCTCTAGTTGCTAAGCCACCTAAGGGCCAGTGGGATTGGCCTCCAGCAAAACCTTGAAGTAAAACTGATGCAGACATTTAATAAAGTTCAATTTCTATTCAATATTAGATGGTTATTAGGATATAAAAACAATCTTTATGAACTTAACTTTTATTAAATAAAAAAAGCTTTAAAAAAGTTTGTACATTATTTTAAATCTTCCACCATTGGCTTTCATCCAATTTGTTTTTATATAAAGACTTTGTATTCCTTTTTTTATTTAACGAAAATGCATTTTTTTACTAAATATATTTTTAATTTTCAATTCCAAATGCTTATCAATCACTCTCAGCTTAGTTAATCTTCACTGACAGATTATAATCAGAAAGAATGATTATTACAGTAGATGTGATTATAAAATTTAAGATTGATTGATTGGCAATGTTGTATACGAAATAAATTCCATAATATCAAACTAAGTCAGAAATAAAACAAAGAAATTTTATTTAACAAGATATAAATAATGTCAAATATCATAAATATTTTGCAGTTTATCACTAACAATAATTTAGAATGTCCAGAAAACTGCATTAATACACAAAGCATCGTCATGATGATGGCAGATCATGAACCATCCATCCACAACCTGCCCTTTACATCAGCTTGTTACTTTATCTATTCAGGGGTAGCCCTAAACTTTATTTTATAATACTTAACGTAATATGAGGTGCATTTCATTTTAATAACTTTATGCTTACATAAAATTTATGCTTTTATGACAAAATAAGCATATTTTATTTGTATTTTACCAAAACATTTAAATTCATTGTTCATTGAATCTAAAATGTCCAGTAGGTATAAGAAGTAATTTTAAATGATTGGCACATTTACAAATATTGCAGGAATGTTTTACAATGCACAAATTATTACAAAAATAATTAATTAGTAATATTTAATACTATTTACAATGTTATGCTAACTAACAATATCAACATATTAATTCAAGTAGAAAATATATCTATAGTCCAAACTTAAGACTACTTGTCACATTATAACTTATTTGTGATAAAAAATAACACTGGTAACTTGCTTATACATTCATTCATATAACTTATTTATAATAATGTATCTTTCTCAAAAAGTTACTGATAACATATTTATTTTAACGCTTTGAGTGTTGTTAACATTAACATCATCTAGAAGGTTAAATCTGGTAATATGGTTCAATGTTCATGTCACGACAGGTAAAAATAGCCTTACAGAATTAATACAAATTACTCAAAATTTTTGTATTTTAAGTTGGCGACTGACATGGGCATTTGCTCGATGACTAGCGCTGAGCACCGGAGAGCGCTCTAGCTCTACACCACTTTCGGTTTTTTGGCGAATCCCTTTGAATACGTGTTGAATGTTACGTTACAATTCAGTCGCTAGCGCAAGCACCGTCAAGAGCGTACGTTGCTCTGCGCGGATAACTATTTACTAGTCGACAACACTCCGTGTCGTGGATTTTTTGCATTTGGTTAAATGCAGTTGAGTAGGGGACAAAAGAATTTTTGTTGAATCCGCCAGCTTTATTTTTCATTTTGAACAAATTTGTTCTACAAATATGCTTTCTTTTCTTCTTTAAGTAGCAATAATGAATTAAAATCACAGATTACCTTACCGTTTTTCCGTAAACGTGTGGGCGGGAATTCTAGAGGGCAAACTTCTTGGACCCTATTTTATTGACGGCCACTTGAATGCACAGTCGTACATGGCTATTTTACGACATGTATTCGACAGGATGTTGGAAAATGTGCCTCTTCGTTCACTGAGAAACCTCTACTACCAACATGACGGTGCCCCTGCACATTTTCAGCTGCAAATCAGGGCTATGCTGGATGAGGAGTTTCCTGGGCGATGGATACGACGTGGAGGGGCAGTGGCATGGCCAGCGCGTTCGCCTGACCTTACCCCGCTGGACTTTTATCTTTGGAGTAGACATGCGCGCCGAGCAAGAATTTGGCGGCGGCGGCGCGCCGATCCACGTGGTCGGCGTGGCGACGCCGCGCCGGCGTGGCAGTATGTTTTCAATTTTTTATAAACATTTATTTAAAATAAGGTAGTAATAAGTAAAACATAGACCTGGATACGAATTCAAATTTAATTTCTTAAAATAAAAACAAACCAAAAAAAAATTTCTAATTATAATTGTAATAACCTCGTAAACAATCAAAAAATCAATCCTTATATAAAAAAGCACATCTTTTTCGTTTTTTGCACAAGTTATAAGAAATTAAAATTGTGTTTTTTTGCACAATGTATAATTATCGTTAATAAAAATAATTTTATTAACGCGTACTGGGCTTAGTCTAGACCTTTTAACAGTCACAGTTAGTCCCGCTATAGAAAAAACGCGCTCGCTTGGCGTGCTGGTAGCAGGAATTGCCAGCATTATCCTCGCAAGTTCGCTCAAGAGCGGAAATGTTTTTTTCTTATTTTGCCAATAATTTAAAATGTCGTCGTCTTTAACATCACAAGCATTAGCAGCTGCCAAGTACATCCAGCATTCTTGATCAGCTTCATTACACTCAGTGGAAGTTAAAATAGAAGAGGTGCCGCTGCAGCTGTGTTTTTTCGAAAGCTTTGACAAAACAGAATCATTGGAAAAACTAGTAATAACAGCAGGAGCTAATGTGGCCATGGTCGTGGATTCACCTGAAATATGTATTTTTATGTACTCTGCTAGAAATGCAGCACGAGTAGTATTTTTTTGTTCGAGGTACGTATCAATCTGACTTAAATTTATGAAACGAGGATCCAACAGTGCCGCAACTACAATTTTATCGGTAATTGGGAACCTTTTGTCTAATTTTGCTAACATATTATTTTTCAGTGTTAGCATTATTAGTGTTTCTTCGTCAGACAAAGAATTGAGGATATCTCTAATTTCCAAATGAAACACCAGGGCCAAATTAAGCGAAGCTGTCTTTTGTGTCGATAGCATTTCCACGACCTCGCGGAACTCACGTAAAAATCTAATTAGATCTTCTAATAAGTTCCACTCTTGCTGGTAAATTTTTAAATCATGTTGACTGATCTGTGACAACATACGATTAACAGGATTTCTGTTGCAAAAGTGTGCTAGACTTTCTAGCATAGCTAGCATACTATGCCAACGGGTTGGCGAAGATGTTTTGATGCTTGGTACATGATTCATGTTACAAAATTCATCGCTTGTTTGTAGTCCTGAAACTGAATTAAACTCTGACCCCTCATCATCAATAATTGGTTCATTCTCGTCCATCTCCAAATGTTCTGATACGCGCTCCAAAGAGTGTAAAAATTCAATTTGTTCTTTTTCTGCCGCTCGCTCCAATTCGGGTAAGCGATACCGAACGGTTTTTACGATCTTTTTTACATTTTTTTATTAATTTATTTAATTCAGGAACACTGCCAATACCATCAACAGTTACCAGGTTATGTAGTCCATGCCCTAAGCACAAATGGCTGTCCAGAGCGGCAAGCGAAATGGCGCGTTTAACATTTGACCCGGCATCCGTCACAGAGTGAAGTACTTTTTCTTGAAGATCAAAGCATTCTTTTATGTCAAGTAATATCGCTTGTATTTTCTCGCCAGTTTTTTTGCCCTCGATAAGTTTAGTGCACAATGTGAATGATTTGAGCTCAAAATCTGCAACATAGGACATAGGTAACATAAAATAAGTACGTAGTCAGTCAGAATAATAATATTATTATTAATCACAAAAGTTCGTAAAAGTTACTTACCAGTGGTTAAATAATGAAGAGTTAACGTTATGTAGTTTAGATGTCTATACTTATCAGACCATATATCAAATGTAATAGCTGCATGTCCAGCCACATCTGTTTTGATTTGAACTTTCACATTGTCCAGCATACTTTCATAGACATCATCGAGAGCAGTACGAGACACTGTGTCTCTGGAGGGCATATCTTCTTTATTAGCGATGATATCATATTTCAAAAATTACAATTTCATCATTATTAATACACTAAAACTTCTACTATTTAAGTAAATGAACACGCTCGATCTCGGCGCGCCGATCGTATTTGTCGGCGCGGCGCGGCGCGGGCAGGGCGCAGCGTGGCGCGGCGGCGCCGGCGCGGCGCGCATGTCTACTTTGGAGAGAAGTGAAGCGCCGAGTGTATGCAACTAAGTTCCGTAATACGTTGGAACTCAAAAGGCGAATTCTTAGTGTATTTCGAGACTTAAAAATGACACTGTTGTGCTTCCTAGAGTGCGTAACAATCTACGAAAACGTGCGGAGGCATGCGTGGCTGTAAATGGATCCCATTTTGAACAGCTTTTACGATTAATGTAAAAGCTGATCAAAATGGGATTCATTTACGAGGATTTTATTTAATAGGTAAGTGTAAATAATCAATCAGGCTACACATCAAGCTAACAAAACCAGTTTGTCTTGGCCTCACTTTGTATGATCTTTCCGTACAATGAACGGTCAGCTTATGCTTCAAATGCCCTTTGCATTCCAGGGCCGCGGTGTCCTGCTAAGACAGTCCCGGGACCCCGGGTCCTTGATTGGACGGCGAGCTACCCATTGGTTTTGCATAGCTTATTGTGTAGCCGTTTGTGCATAACATTATGATTAACCTTTTAAATACGCCAAAAATCCTACCTTATGATTTACTATTATTAATGTTTAATTTTCTTTATTGTTAAATCTAATTTACATTAATTTGGACTCGTCACGCAACACAAAGGGTAGGAATTTTTGACTCTCCTAAGCCAGTGTGAAAATATGAAGGAAAAGTTACATCATAGGTTATGTGTACCATTGTGTTTTTATAGAAATGTTGTGTAGGTATCAAGGGCGGGCGGTGATCTTTAAGTGAGTGATAGACGGGCGAGCAAGTACGCGTACTTATGGCTCGACGACCTTTTTCGCTCGTGTGTCACCGTAAGTACGCGTACTTTAAAACCGCCGAGTAAGTTCGTCGGCGATCCAACCGCTTTGAAATCTTACTCGTAGCTCGTTTTGGCTCGTACGTGTGGCAGCACTGCGAGCCGCAAGCCGCCATTTTGTTTCGCCAGTCCGTGGACGCGCACGCTTGTTTAAATTGCAATTTTTGTTAATTTTGATTCAGAAATTTCTCAAAATGTGTGATTTTCGAACTTATTCGCATGAACTGCTAACCGAATTTATAGAAGCTTTCCGAAATAACCCTTGTCTTTGGAAAATTAGAAGCAACGACTACAAAGACAAAAATTTGAAGCTTCAAGCATACAATAATTTATTAGAAATTATACGGAAGGTAGAAAGAGATGCTACGATTGAGAACGTCAAGAAAAAAATTAATTCATTAAGGGCTGGGTTCCGAAAAGAACATAAAAAAGTGCAAGATAGCAAGAAGACAGGTTCAGGAACTGACCAGGTATACGTGCCAAAATTATGGTATTACAGTCAGCTTGAATTTCTCAAAGATCAAGGCCAAGGTAAGTTTAATTATTTATTAAAGAATTTCTCTATACACTATTATATTTTACGTGCGTATTCTTTGTTATGCCTGTGCCTAAATTAGGTAGGTACCTAAAATAGAGTACCTATTATAGCACTTTGTTTCATTACAATAATGACATTGTGATGTTGAACATTAAAACCAAAAGTAAATTTAGAGGGTTTTTATTTAATTACAGGTGAACAATCAACTGACAATATAGACAGCAGCGAACAGGAGACAGCTAATGATAATGAAAATACATTTGATGCTGAACATAGTGAAAATGATACCCAGGTAAAAATACTATTATTTTATCATTCTTTGTTGCCATGACACTGCACCACTAGTATTAAAGTAGGTTTCATACTTTTCTCTGATAATTTTTGCATTTTGAGTGGGGTACGACTATGTGTTTGTTGTAGTGACTGTAATTCTCCATTTTGTGGTCTCACCCCAATTCAATAGTTCCATTTTCGTGATTTTCACTATCTAAGTGCTGATGTGGACTGTAAGCTTGTCTTAATTTTTTCCTTAAAAAATTGTGCAATACACAACATGCCAAAACTATTTTGTTAATATTGTGCACACTGGTATTTATAGGCGATCGAAAAATGTGGAATCTTGCCGCCAGAATTCCAAAAACATTTTCTATAATTCTTATAGCCCTGCATACTCTATAATTGTATATCCTCTTACTTGAGCTAGCCTGTGATTGCCTTTGTGGGTACGATTTCATAAAATCTGTCCTCAAAGCAAAAGCCTCGTCGCCAATAAATACATAAGGCAATTCTTCTGAATGACCGCTTGGTTTTCTGGGGCTAGGAAGATTTAAGCGCTTGGAATTCAATCTTTGAAAGAATGTAGTTTTTTGTAATACACCTCCATCAGAAATACGTCCATTTGTTCCAATATCTACATAAATAAATTCATAATTTGCATTTGCAATTCCCATAAGTACAATACTGTGATACCCTTTATAATTAAAAAAATGTGAGCCGGCTCCGGCAGGAGGGACTATAGCTAAATGTGTCCCATCGACGGCTCCTAAACAATTTGGAAATTGCCATGTACGCTCACTCTTCAGCAATTGCTAGCCATTCTTCTTCTGAACTCGGGAACTGTAACAAAAAAAACCATAATTCAGCATAAATGATATCATTTTTATTTACAGAGTACCATTTGCAACGTGTCATCACCTGTGACATCTGCAACATCTGTTGCTTCATCTGCACGTCGTAAGCGACACGGCAATGCCGCCATTGAAGACACAATATCGTTAATAGGTAAAAGATTACAAAACCCAGATGATGAATATGATGCTATAGGAAAAAATGTCGCAATTAAACTCCGCAACATGACTGCTATTCAACAAGGCATAGCTGAAAAGCTCATCAATGAAGTTATTTTTTTGGGACGGTTTGAAAAATTAACATTCAATACAAGTATACATAATCCAGTTCCAGTCCAGGTACCCCAAAGACCATTGATACGCATGCCAGCTGTTCCAGTCCAGCTGCAAGAAACACAAGCATTTAACTTGACACAAGACTCGCAAACTATTAGTATCCCGGACACCCTGGTTGAATATTTAAACTTTAATAATAATAACTAAAAATAAATAAAATAGTACGTTACATTTGTGTATGTTCAAGAGTAAATTTATTTGTTAAGCATTAATGTTAATGTGCCATTGCAAAATAAAGTCTGATTATTTGTACTGAGTTATTTTATTTATAAAGTATGTAATAAATGATACATACCTTCAAATATGTTTTCAGTGCAGAGTAGATTGCGTCACATGTCTCAGGAATTATGTACCCCAATGACTGTCTTGATATCGCTGACGAATACATTACATCTTTATATGTTCCACCAGTTATCAAAAATCGTAATGTTGCACTTAAACGTTCATGCGGTGAAATAGCTTCTCTCATGCAAGTATCCTGTTTAGCTATAATTGGTGTGACTAAACACAAAAGTTCTTCATACACAGGCTCAGGCATTCTGAAATAATTCTGGAAATCTTCCTTCTCTTCACGTAACTCTCTTACTAAATTCACATGTGATAAACGCTCTCTTTTTGTAAGCCAGTTCTTAACCCACACTTTTCGCCTTCGTCTATTGTTTTTAGTTTTTGAAATGTAATACGATATAATTCCTAAATAACACAAAGCTTCTTCAGTGGACGACATCGCGATACGGTATGAGTAAGTTGGCGCGTGTATCGCCGACGTCGAGCCAAGTAAGTTCGCGATCTTAAAAACCGCCTACTTTAAGTTCGTACGTCTATCACCCACTTTACAGTGATTACGTCACTTGGGCGCATAGGGTATCCATGAATTTACGGACGGTGGAAACTATTTTAATTTTATGAAAGAAAATACCGTTTTTTTTTAACCCATTACCGCCCTCTGTACCCGCGTGTGTACAACTATTTTATGCGTGATTGCGTTTTGTTTATTTGTGGAACTACGGTATTGATTGGTTATTTTTAATCTGTGTACTTGTAGCTGTCTATGGAATATAGAAAAAATTGTGTGACGGGAAAATAAATATTCGAAATGTCACTTCGTTTTACGAGTTGTGAGTCAAGTTGGTAAGATAAGACTTTTGTTTGTATTTTTATTATAAATAATTCCATATTCATGATTGTTTTTTACTGTTTTGTGTTATAAGGCTTTATACTGACATATTATATGGTTGGAATAACAATTCGTTTGGATAAAAGTGCAATACACATGATTTTTATGTGCTGTACCTGTTGGTGTACAATGGGCGCTTGTGTAAATAATTTTTGTATTTTGCAGGTGTTTTCAAAGACTCTACAATGACTGACCGTCACGTCTTTACGAGTCAAAATAACCATGCGAGACTTGAAGAAGCCCTTGAATCTATAGTAGCTGATGAAAATGATGATGCGCAGTACGTCGTTTTATTGCCACCAGATCCAGCTATTATTAGTGATGAAAAAGAAGGTAATGAAGATGACTTGTCTTCTACAACTTTCCCGACGTACCGGGTACAGTTGAGGTAGCCCCACTGCATCCTGATCATGATGTTTCGGACTGGGATGACAGTGATAACGAGCCATTGTCCACTCACTTACGACCTGCAAAGCGAGCTAGAAGGCGAGATTCTAACGAGCCTGTATGGAGAAAAACTTTACCCTTATACAGCATGACCCATGACGTAACTGGTATCATTCAGCGACGACAAGAAGTCCTCGTTGAATCTTTGAAAGACTGCAGCCCTGTGATGTTATTTGAGAAGATATTTGATGATAATGTTATGAGTTTGATTGTGGAAAATAGCATGAAGTATGCTGGGCAACATAACAGACACAGTTTTGAAATTGATAAGCCCGAATTGAGAACTTTTCTGGCCGTTTTATGTTTTACTGGATATCATGAACTGCCTTCCGAACGTGCCTATTGGAGTTTGGATGAAAATCTCGGCGTTCCATTGATCGCCAATTGCATGTCACGCAATAGGTTTTCGGACATCAAACGAAACTTACATTTCGTCGACAATTCCCTAGCGGAAGGTTCAAATGATAAAATGTTCAAAATGAGACCGCTGTGCGATTTTATACACAAAAAGCTCTTGCCAGTGGGGAGTATTTCACGAAAACTTATCTATAGATGAATCTATGATAAAATACTTTGGTCGTCATCCCGCCAAGCAATACATAATGGGAAAACCTGTACAATTTGGCTACCGGAATTGGGCTGCAACAAGTTCAGATGGCTACTGCTACACTTTCGACATATATTGCGGAAAATCTACAGAAGTGTCGATAGACCCACTGGGCTCGAGAGTGGTAAAATCCCTATTAGCAAAGATGCCGATAGTTCCAAAAGAACATGTCGTATACTTTGATATTTTTTTACCAATTATCAGTTACTCAACGACTTGCGACTCTTAGGGTACAGAGCCACAGGAACAATACGAGAAAATAGAACAAAAAGTTGTCCTGTGGCTGATGTAAAAACAATGAAAAAGAAACCAAGGGCGGATTACAACTATTGTTTCGATATCAAAAATGAAATAACAATCGTGCGGTGGAAAGACAACAATGTGGTCACGATGGGATCAAATTTTGACACTGTAGAACCACTGGGGAAGGTGAAAAGGTGGTGTAGTATACAGAAACAAAAAGTGGATGTATATATTCCAAGATTGTTTGTCAATTATAACAGAGGCATGGGTGGAGTAGATCAGATGGATCAATCGATTAGTCTCTATCGAGTATATATAGAGGAAAAAAATGGTAGTGGGTAATCTTTACCTACCATTTAGATATGGCGATTTCAAATGCTTGGCGTCTGCATGTCTTGATCAGCAAAACTACTGACACGGCCTACATGGATCAATTGCTATTCCGGCGTACGATTGTTAGAGCATACCTTCGCCAAACTAAGACGAAAAGTCGTCCTACGTCATCAACAATATCTGGCCTTGTGCAGAAAAATAACGGACATAACCCACAACGCATCGAAAACCCATTACGATGTGTTATTTGCCACAACCGCGTTCGTTGGCGCTGTGAGATATGTGCCAAAACACTATGTATGGAACGACCATGCTTTGGACAATTTCATGCCTTATTCGCCCATTGTACCCGGCCAAGTACACCCCGACAGTTCCCAAAAAAAATAATAAAATAATAATAATTACTTTTGTACCTTTTATTTAGTCCATATTCATGCAATACATAACGAGTGGTTATAATTTTCATGTGTAGTTTAATTTTGGGCGTTAATGGGATAAATCGGATAAATATTTTTATATTAAAGCCAACTACCTATGGACTCAGTGACAACGGTGTTTACACTTACACACTGTATATTATATATATATATATATATATATATATATATATATATATATTTATATATATATATTTGTACATATAATCTGATGATTTCTTAAATTTACGCGAACACTACACACATTGAATAAAACTATATATACGGATTTTGTCGAGTTTAATTAACTTATGGTTACGGGGTAACAGTCGCCTAAATATTAGAATATCACGTTTTAATTAACCACTTAATGCTATTACTTATTGTGTAATCTGCATTGGTACTAAACTTTTAAAAAAATGTAAAAGTCCATACTAAAACTGGCAAGTATAGAGATATATAGTGGAATCCAACATCCTTCTACGGTTTGTCCCCTCGACAAGTAGCGGCGATCCACATCTTTTTCCTTTCGGGGCATTTAGGAAACCTACAACATATAGGTACCGCAATGGTACACCACTATTTTTATAAAATAATGATAATGACCAAACCAATATCCACTTATAAATCACAACACTATCGATACACGTGCTGTCGTTAGACAAAGACAACTACTGTAATTTATGTAATGAGTGAAAGGGACATTTCAAAAAGACATCAACGGGTGCTCAGTGGCGAAGCTGGAGCTCCAAGCTAGGGCAAGCCCAAGATATAAATTGATAAAAATATAGATTGTTGTTTTTAGCAGTTTTATAAAAATACACCAATCTTGATCTGTCTCCACGCTTCAGTTTCATATTCAGTGCTGTCAAGGACGTGTTTAACAAAGCACACAGAAGGCATACCACTGCTAGATAGATTGTATTACATATCAGAAATTGCATAGCTTCGGTGGCTTTGAAGAAAGCTGTTTGGGTTTGTTTAAGCGAAAGAAAAAAAATATTTACATCCAATACAATACATGAACAAAAGTAAAACACGAACAAAGTACAAACAGACTATGTACAAAATTAAAAAAAAATTATTTACATTCTTATGGATAAGAGATAAGATAAGTGGAATCGTCTCGCTTTCTTATGAAAAGATTTAATTACGTCCACGTAAAATGTTGGTGAACTTTTTAATTGTACCAATAACTGTTTTTAATTGCGATAATTGATAAGTCTGAAATACACTCTTAACATTGTGTATTATCTCAACAAAGTTTAAAGATTTCCTCTCAGATTATCACTTTAACACACTTCAATTCATCACAAGGAACTCTAATATTAAATCTAAAAATCTTTAAAAAAAGCATAAATTTTGAACTCGTAATATTAAATCGCTTAAGATAAGCACACAGAGTAAATAAACATTGAAACTTGAAATGAACTTGCAAACGTATTGCCCGCGCGCCTCCGCTTTTAACAAATTTATTCCCAAAAGCCTGGCTTTAAATCTCTATACTAATTGCTATATATACAATCGTAGTTATATTTCATTATAGAATATTTTGCCATAGGTTAGAAAGAGAGCGATCGTCTTCGCGAAAGCCCCGTAAAAAGCCCACGCGAGCGAGGGAGACAACTATTAGCTCTATTAAAGCTCATTTTTTATGACAGCAGCAGTATCGCTAAGACAATACGAGGTCATCGGTCAAAATGTGTCGTACAGTGGAGTGCGCGGGAAATTTGAATTAGCTTGAAACATTTTACCTTAGAGTAACAGTAATATAGAGTGCGCACAATGAAGTGGGAACAGTAGGCACGGGTGAGAACAACACGACGTTCCCGCCGCGAGCGCTTGTAGTCGTGGTTAAGTGTTAGCAGTGTGCGTTTCTCCAGAGATTTTTTTAAAATTTGCGAATCAAAATGGTGAAATGTGTAGTTCGATCGTGCAAAAACGACACTAGGAAACACACGAAACTGAAATCTAATATCACATTTCATCGGTAAGTCAATTTTTATGAAAAAGGCGGGCACGCATAGGCCCGCCCGCGCCCCGCGCCACACCGCACTCCCCGCGCGAGACTGTAGTGATGCGACGCGACCAACGCTGTAGTCGATATTTTTTTATTGTTGTCTAGGAGAACTACATAATATTATGTTTAAGTAACTTTAAATACTAAAAACCTTTGATTCATTTAATATTATGAATAGTTTTGATTTGTGATTTGTACGATATACTTTCTAATAATTATGATGCGAAAGTATTATAGCGTACGCGTTAAGTATGGAATGTTACGATACCACGTCTAAACTGCTTAATTGATTTTAAATAATTTTGGTAGTTATAGAATGAAGTAAAATTAAATGTAAATTTTTTCTTTTTTTCTTTTCTTTTTCAGCTTTCCAAAAGGCCGAAACTTGATGAACAAGTGGATTATCGCTTTAAAACAAACAAATTGGGAACCAAATATGGAATAAAGTTTGTTCAGTACACTTTCTGGTTTCAAATTTCGATGAAACAAAAAAAGGACTGCGCAAATTAATAAATACCGATATCCCATCGCTTTTTCTTCGTCCATCAACACCTGATCATAATCAAGAAGCGGCGTTATTGAATTCTGGCAAAGTAAGTGTACCTTTCGAAAAACACGAACCATCTACTTCAAACGACATGCAGATCAATCCAGAAGTGTCTCCAGACGTATGTACACTTCTTCCAAATGTAGGCGATACCCCAAGAAAACTAAAATTGAAAAAAAGAAATTGTTCGATTGGAAGACATAGCTAATTATTAATGCGCTCTACGCAACACGTCGGTGTTTGAAAAAGAAAGTTGAAAATTTGTCGCAAGTACTCAAAGAGTTGAAAGAAAAGAGATTAATTACTCAAGAGCAGGTTGACCTTCTAGAATCATGTTGACTTTCTGCAGCAGCTCTCATTAAGAGAATGATAAGTAAAGGCGAGGAATATTCACCAGAGCTCCGCACATTTGCGCTAACACTCCACTTTTATTCTCCGAAGGCCTTACATAAGGAGTACATTTAACACATGTCTGCCACATCCGAGTACAATTCGAAAATGGTACCAATGCCTCGATGCGAGTGCAGGTTTCAGTGCCGAAGCATTCAACGCTCTTCGCGAAAAGGTAAAGGCGACCGAAAATAAAATTTTATGTAACTTAGTTACTGATGAAATGTCCATACGTAAACTCAAAGAGTTTGATGGCAACAAAGTGCAAGGTTATATGGACTTTGGAGCAGGAATCGACGTGCCCGGAGATACAGCCGTATTGTGTACACAAGCCCTGGTATTTCTTTTAGTTGCGGTGAACGGACAATGGAAAATGCCCGTGGGATATTTTTTGGTGGATGCGTTACAGGAGAGCAAAGGGCAAATTTATTACGAATGTGCCTTTCGAATTGCCACGAGGTTGGCATAGAAGTTGTATCGACATTCGACGGTTGTCCGGCAAACATTGCTATGGCTCGCGAACTCGGCTGTTCATTCGATCTAGGACAGTTGAAAACCCATTTTCCACACCCTGAGACGGAACAGCCTATCTATGTATTTCTGATCCATGCCACATGATCAAACTTATCAGAAATACATTAGAAAGTAAAAAAGGTTTTTCAAGATAACAATGGAGGCCTTATTAAATGGCAATATTTTGTTGAGCTTAACACCTTGCAGCAAAATGAAAAATGTCACCTCGCTAATAAATTAACAACAATACATATTGATTTTAAAATCAAGTCATGTAGGTAAAACTAGCAGTGCAATTATTAAGCGCTAGTGTGGCAAAAGCTATACAATTTTGTGATCAAAAGCTGCATTTGTTAAATTTTGCCAACTCCGCCGCAACGGTAAATTTTACTTATATGGTAAACAATCTGTTCGATATTCTAAATTCACGGAAGTTTCTCGGAATTGACTTCAAAGCTCCCATTAATAAAAAAAATGAGGCAAAATA